CCGGTCACAGGTGCTGGCGAAATGTTAGGAAACAAAACTTCCAGAACATGGCCACACAGCCCGGAAGACCCACACCAGCCAACTCCTAAACAGTTTTACAATATAGACTCTCCTTCAGAAAAGAGAAATAACTATTGATATTACATTATCTAGGGTGGGACCTGCAGAAGTTGCTCCATACAAAACCTGAGAGCATAGATAGACTATTAGGAAATTGAAGTTCTGCAGATAGTTTAGGCCTAAGCCCTACAAGTCATTGTGTCAGATTCCCTCATTCAAACTTGGCAGAAGATAGCTGGACACTTGATATGGCATAGTTAGAAAAGCATATTTATTGCTGTTAGCATGAAGCTACCAACCTCCTCTTCCTGCAAGCACTCCAAAAGAATACCATGATCCATGGTATCAAAAGATATATGAGTTCTAAGAGTATCAACTGATATTTCTCCATCTCTCTCTCCTAGTATAGATCATCTATCAGGTTGATGGCCATCTCTGAGCCAAATCTGGTCTGAACGTAGACTGATAATCTGTTTCCCCTAAGATTTTTTTAACACAGACAAGGAAAACTAAAATACATTTTTCCAGCTGCTTGAAGAGCAATAGTGAGGGACTATTATCTGTTGCAAGTCCCCTAATGAGGAATTCCTTAGCCATTTTATGGTTGTTAATCCTTAGACAAACCCATAGCTCAGCTGCAAACCAACCAAAAAAAAAAAAAATCCTACTATCCTAAAAGTCAGATAAAGCTATAGACTCATAAAAGGAACTGGAAGCTTTCTCACAGAGCTCAGTCAAAATAGAAAAATAATACCATAAGCCATTCTACCACATGCTGGTGCCCCTGAAGTAATGCTGGAATCTGAACTTCCTGAAGTTATGGACTTTGACCATGCTAACTGACATAATAGTAATTCTGTGCCAATGCATCTGAAGGGCACCAGTTTGGAGAAGGTTGGCATATGAATTGTAATAAAGGATGGAAGAGAAGAATGCGTGGCAGAGGGATGAAAAAGATAAACTGTTTTAAATTAAAATGAACTGAAAGTTGTATCATTTACCTATAGAGATCTCAAACTTCACAGGTTTGGTACCTACTGATGGATCCATCATAGTCACTTCAAAAAACGATGCAAAGAGAAGGAATTCTTCTTTCACACCTAGGGCATTCTGAACAAAGAGTTTTCACTTTTCAGTTTCCTTCTTTATGATAATACTGAATACTGGTTCACAGATTAATCCAAATAAAAACTGTATTTTTTAACTTAATTAATTTGGATTCCATATACCAACACACAGAATGATATTTAGCCTTGGCAGAACTCTAACATAACACAAACATGCAGCAATATTTGCCTGGAGGATGGGAGCTGAAAGCTGAATTCTGCTTGGAGGAGTAAATGCACTGTTAATGTGTTGTATCTAAATATATTGGGATTGGTAGAATAAGGGTAGTAATCCAGATTTTAAAATAAAACGATTTTGAGAATGTTTAAAAGGTAAGTGATGCTTTCTTCCTATTTCATTTTTTCACTCATATTTTGCCTCCCCTTTTATGCAAGTTGACACTTTGATCAAGAAAAATTATGATAATTATTTTAATCCCCTTCATCCCAATGTTTCTCTACTCTGAAGTTCAGCTACCTAAAATTGCTTTTAATTTCTTCCTTTTTTAAAAAAAAAATCAAGACGTTGTACATAGTAACATATAGAGATTTTCTTAGGTGAAGGTTAGGAATATTCTGCATGTCATCAGGAAAAGATCACCTCTATACATGGAAAGGAAATTACAGTAGATAGAAATGAGTCTCTCTGTGGTCATAGTTGTGCAAACTAAGTTCCAGTTGTACATAGCTGTTTAATTTTTAAAAGGCTTCATCGGAGCTTTAAGCATGTAATCCAGCGTTCACTTGAGTAAGCAATCTGTATTCTCCATCCAGCACCTTAAAACTATGCTGCCTAAAAATTCTGGGAGTTGTAGTCCCAGCATATCTTGGGGGCACAAGAGTGGTAGAAGGCTACAGTATTTACGTCTTCATTATTCTGTCTTTGGATTTGGAATTTGAAATAGAAATGAATTGTAAGAGCAGCTGGATATGCATAGATTGGGTGGGGACTTGCTTACATACCCACATCCCCTCTAAGTTTTACTCTTCATAAGATATGAACTAAGAAGTTAACTTAGACCATGTTATGAGATATTATGAGAGAAAATGTTAATTTAATTTCATTGCTCCATTTCAATTTTGATGCCTACTAGAAGGAAAATTACTGTATGACTCTGTGGAATACTGAAAACAATTTGCTTTTACAAGTTTGCATTTGGGGTTTCTTCTGATAGAAACTTTGTTCCATTTTCACATCTGGTTTGATTTTGAAACTGCCACTATTTCTTTTATTGCCCCAATGATTCAGTGAGGAAATGTCCTTTATTGGGAAGGTCACATAAAAACTTTTTTCAAGACTGGAACTATCCGTGTGTGAGTGTGAGTGTGTGTGTGTGTGTGAATATGGAACAAGAGTTACCTTTCCTTACTTAACTATGCAAAGTCTGTCTCTCTCCAATGGCCTGATACAGACCTAGCCAAAATCATCCATAATGGAAATCAATGGCACAAGTCACTAAACAATTACTCCATCTTACTTAAAAATGCTCTTCAGTTTTTGGGGGTGGGGAAGGGGGAAGAAGAGAGGTAGATAGAAACCCCTAAGGATTCAGTGACTGATTACAAATTGCCTAACTTTTTACTCAAAAGATGGCTTTTATCTTGTTAATTTAGATCACATTGTTTTATAATACTTAACATTTGTTAAAGTTGTTATTTGTATTTGCTTCTTTATTTTTTAAAGTTTAATACTGAACATGTTAAACAGGGGGGAATATGTTTTAGCCCTCACTTATTAAATACAAAATATAGAGAAGGCCTCATGTAAGATAATTTCCTATGATTTCTGTGATCACTGAGACTCACCTCAGGGAGAGGATGGAGGTCCTCTACCTCCACAATCACTTCACTTGGTTGTTCAGCCTCCTCAGTGGTACTAATCTCAGACCGGCTTTGATGGTGCTCCTTGTCAGAAGTTCTAGATTTCTCTTTGGCCTTTTTACTTTTCTTCTTCAGCTTGAGTTTGCTTAAGGCCCCTTTAAGAACCTCTGCTGGCTTCTTTTCAGCTGCCTGGATAGTACTGAAAATCTCTACCGTAATGGCCATAAGAAGGCGTCCACGAAAGAAGATGCCTTCACCCAGTCCTTCATTGAGATCTTTGTGTACATCTCGCAAGGTTGAATTCTGGGATGAACCATATAAATTGACCCATGTTGGCCCAAAAGTGGGATTAAAGCCTAGTGGGAAGGAAATATGGTTTTGAATATACTTGCATTTGGTTCAGATTTGCACTCTTACAGGCCCATTTTGACAATGGAGTAGGTCATGCTTCCTTGGTGATCCTATCATATAGATAGATATTTGGCATGGTGTTACCTCACAGAAATTCAGAGGACTAGTTGTGGATATATCCCTCAGTACAGATAGATTTCTCCTAGCTATGTCTCACCACATACCGAAGTAGACATAGATATATAATAATTTCTCAACTGTATTAAAGTAGAGAAAAAGGTGTCCCATCCTTCCAATAAATTTGCAGGGTGTATTACTATACCAAATTAAGGATACAATAAGAAAATATAATGTTAAACTTTTTACAGGACCTGTATTGCCCACTTATTGCTACATTAGGCATCTTTCTCAAATGTCCACCATTAAGCTATGTTAAACTGATGTGCAAAAGAGATAAAGCTTTCTTGGTAATAACCCTACATTGTGGAATTCCTGTTGACAAACACTGAGTCCCTTCTGTGGACCATTTAAATGAGCAGTAAAACCTTTTGTTTAAAGCTTCCTTCCATTTCATATATGATTAGCCTGTACAGTATGGTCAAAACAGTCCTGCAGAGTATTTTGTACATTTGTTGCCATGGCTGTTATGTCTAGTATTTGACCCAATTCATTGTTGTTCTGTGAGTCTGTAAAAGATGGTATTAATTAATTTAAAATTAATTAATAGACAAATAGGCTAATAGACAAAAGGTAAGGACCATTTAATCATATATCAGCTGTGATGTTCTAAGGGGCTGCAGCTCAAAACTCTGCTTTCCATGCTAAATTTTTGCTGCTTTTATCCTTGACCTCTCTATGGAAGGCTGGAAAAATTCTTACATGACATCTTGGAGAAACTTCCAGTCAGCTAAAACAGCACTATCAGTTCTGATAACTCAATGCTAGGTGGATCTATGGTCTGATATAAGACAATGTCTATAACAGACTCACCATTTCTCCCAGGGTCAGATATTTGTTGCAGATCAATGAAATGTGTAGCAAGGGCAACATCTCCAATGTTTGCATCATCCAATAGCTGGACTTTTATTTTTCGAACAAGAGGAGGAAACATCTCAATGAAACTTATTTGTTCATTCCAAACTGGTTCTGTAGTGCTGCTTTCAACTGAAGTTTCTCCCTAAATAAGAGAACATTAAATGAACAGAAACAAAGATCTCAGTTGGTGATAAAGCAGTAATAAAAGAGTGCGGGAGCACAGAACTGTTCAGACCAGCCTTCCCATTCCCTGATATCTTTCAGATGCCTTGAGATTGCAACTCCCAGAATTCCCATCTAAGATAAATGCCCCATTTACCCATCTTTTAAATAAGCATATTAGCTCCAAACTTTGTCACCTTTCCTTAGAGGAGAATTGTTCTATGGCCATGTCTAGATTATTGTTTCCTGTAAGCTTAAGTTTAGTACTCATGCACTAATTCAGAACTATACAAACAAAGTAACTCACATCTTGAAAAACATTTTTTCCTTTAGGATGCTTGCACTGTGTCCATGTCTCTATTTGCATCTTACTACTGTACAGGACAATCAACCACAATCACACATTATCCCTCTTGTCCTCATGGTGTTACCTTCTCTTTTTATCTTCAACAGAGAGAGTATTGTTACCTGTATCAGTGTTAAAATTGTATTCTACCCCCAACCCACTTTTTTGACACCATCCAAGGATAGCCTTACATGGGCAAAACCCATTATGCTTTGTAATCCATTACTGATGGGAAGTCATTGACTGGAAGTGATTGGAATGGAGGCACTAGATGCAGTATAGAAATTGGCAATGGGAACAGCATTTTTGCCTAACTCAAATGTGGGTAAATAGCATTTTAATTCAGTAGTAGGAAAAGCTCTATGTCCCCTGTTACACAGTCAGCAAATCTGCACTGGGTTTGTATTAATTGCATATTGTAGGACTAGGTGGTGGGAGCAAAATGAAATTTTGCCTAAGCATAAGGGGAGATTGCCTAAGCATAAGTTAGGGATGCTGTGGAATTTACTCCACAACCAGCAATGAGAAGAATCCTGACTGGATCATACTGTTTCGTAAGTTCTTGATACTTGATCTTTTTCTATTTGACTATTAGAAAAGTTCAGCATTAAAATTAAATAGATCAATCTGTTTTGTGAATCTTTCAGTAAGGAAATATGCAACTTGCAACAGAGAATTACCTGCTGTCCAGAAAAAGAAATCTGCACATAAGGATCAATGAAGACCTTCTTCTCACTCACAATTTTTGAAAAGCCACCCATGATTCCTGCACTCATACTGGGCAAACCATCTGCCTTGTACATTTTGATGCAGAATTTGGCCCAGGGTCTCTCAGCTGGAACTTTTTTAGGGAGCAGCAAGTTCCTAAAAATAAGATATTTGATCAATTAGTAGAGATGACCCTTTGATTAATCAAGGATACAAAATTCTGGGGGAAAATCAGGACAACAGTTCATTCCCTCAGTTATCTGATTTTCAATTAACAAACAAAATGATTACTTACCTTGCTACACTGCAGTACCCAACCACCTCTGGCTAATTGCTAAACAGGGTTAGACCTGGTTAATACTTGGATGTGAGACTACCAGAAAATAACAAAGTGTGAGACTGGACTGGGAAGTGGAAAAAAATCCCCCCAAAAAAGCACTTCTACATTTTTGCCAAGAAAACAACATGAATATGTCCATGAACACACCAGGAATCAAGCTTGGTGCCTCTCAAAGTAATTTTTTTTGTGAGAGATTTGTGCCTGATTATTGTTAAAATAATATAGCTACATCTTCCTCTTCAGAAAAGCAGGCAACCATATCACCATTCCTTGAGGAGAGAGACTAAGGACAATTCTACACTGCAGACAGACCTGCTTGTCTTCCATACTGCTTCCAACTGTTCCTGAAGCTGAGTTTAAAAACTCAGGTCTGGATTGCAGTGGGTTGGTGCCCATCCATGAAGGGAAGGCAAGCTTTGCTGGCTTGCCCTGTGTAGGTGAGTCTCCCAGTACATCTCCCCGCCCCCCCTTTTTTAGGGATTGTTCCATCCTGAATCAAAGCGAAGTAGAATGGGTGTTTTCTTTATTCCTGCATTCCTTTGTAGCAAGGAAGAACTGATGGTTCAGCATTATAGAAGAAAAGTAGTATTCATTGACATTTGTAGCATTAGTCCAAGTGCCTACCTTGCAACTTAAAGATTTAGAGGGGTAGGGAAAGGAAGGAAGCTTTGCAGTCAGATGGGTTGGGGTTGGGATAGCAAGGAAGCATCCTTCAGCCAACCTGGGCAGAAGGGACCCTGTTATGAGATGTAAGGATTAAATGGAGCAATGAGCTTCTAGTGGGGGTGGGAAAACACATTCATGGATTTAATGGGCCAGCCATCGCTAGATCAACCACAAGATAATTTTTAAAATGGCAGCTGCCATCCATTGGAGAACATAGGAATCTTGGCACCCAAGACAAAATGGCTGCACAGAGAAGTGACCAGGAAAAGATGGTGGCTTGCTAGGAGACACAAGATCGGTCTCTTCCCGAGTGCAAAAAGACCTTCTTAGATGCTGATTGCTAAGAATTTGGCAAAAGAGCTAATTTTCTTCTGGGGGTTGTTCCTAGAGGGCGAATAATCAGTTCCTAGAGGGTTATAAATCCTTGTTAAGCTGTTTGCCATAATGGACAGCAATCAAGCTGATAAGAACCCCCAGAGTCTACAAGTTTAAAAATCTTGCTTACAGTATTTTGGATCCTTCACCAGGTTCAGAAAGGCTTAAAATAGTTTAAGACATAAAACCAGTTTTGATGTGGAGCTTCAAAATATGGGTTGCGAGTGAGTGGAAGATGACATTATCCATTCCTGCACTCAAGAAATGGTGGGTGGCCTGTACTGATAGTGGAACAAGGAGGAGATCCCAAATTTATCTGTGCAAAAGAGGACAGACAGCAATTTCTGAATGAGAAAAAGGAGACCTGAATTTCACTCTTTGTTAGAATGCTCGTGTCTTTTCCTGTGCTCAACAATACAATTTATAAATAAACTTCCCAAGCTTGATTAAGCATTGCACCTCTGGACCATTTCTTCACCCATAGGAGTGGGAAGACTGTCCTGTTATTACTAATTCCATAGGGCAACACTCTATATACCTTTCACCACCACAAACTTACTTTTCAATGTCTTCATTCTGACTGCTGGAAGAGGTGGGAAAGGAACCCATTACATCCCCCCGAGCCATGACAGAAATGTTGCACTTTACAAAGCCTTTAATTCCTGCTCTGGTGTCCTTTGGGTCATTAATCACAGCCCACTTCTGGTAGAACCTATGGTCTAAATATATAAAGAGAGAACAATTGAATCACAATTTCTCTGGATCTAATTTAGATTATTAGGAGTTTGGGTCAAGAGGTTAGATGAGCTCTGCTCTTGTCGATATGGTGTTTTTTTTGTTTTTTGTTTTTGGTGAGTGGGGTTGTTTATCCTTGGCTTCCAGGGGTTGTATGTTGTAGGGTTTGTGTTTTTAATCCTTGTACACCACCCAGAGTCACTGGTGTGAGATTGGCGGTCATATAAATCATATAAATACATAAACAAACAAACAATCATGCTTAGAAATTCTGAGCCTAGACCATACCAGTGTCTTGAAAAAAGGATCCAGAGGAAAACTAAAACTAATAGATTGACATAATACTTAGCAAGCATAGGTCAGTTAGTGCTCCCCAGAAACTAGCAGAGCTCTACAGATTGATTATAAGGAAGGCTATAGCCACAGAGAGCATAAACATTTATTAAAAAATTTCTATGGCCATCACAGGAATTTCCAATCTGGCACCAATCACATATATCGGGATATTCTGGGAGTACTCATCTCAAACAACTGGAGGGTACCAAATTGTAGAAGGTAGACAATTAGGCAGTGTGAGGTAGCAAGTGCGTCAGGATATGGGGGGATGTGAAAGGGAAACACAATGTTTGTTTAATTAATTACTAATGTATTTTAGTGCCAGCTGGGGAAATTTCATCAGCATGATTTGACCAACCTCAGACAGTAAAATCTCTTGAACCAGCCCCTGAAAATGTTGGCCAGATTTAATGACCAACTCAATTTTTCTCAGCTGAGAATCTTGATCATGGACTTTCTTGAAGGGACCAAGTAGTGGGAGAGCTGATTCTTAATTCTCCTATTTGTTAGAAGTTGTTGGAAGTGAATGATGCTGATCATGAACAAATCCATTGGAAACAGATTAAGCAGCTTTTTGGCAAACCACCATGAAAGGCTAGACCATGTTACAGACTCAAAGCAGATAATCTGAAGTAATGGGAGAAGACAACCAAGAAGCAACTCTTGACACGATAGCAGCCTCATGGTACAGTACCTGGCTGGTTGTATACAGTCTCAAGATCTATCTTGAATGTGCCTATGAGAGTGCCTAGGAAGGGAATCTTCTTTGAATGGAAGACCTGCACATGAATACACAGTTATTTCTCAGTTTTGAGCTATATGGCAGCCAAGAGATCCACAGAAGCCAACTATTGCCAAGAAGAGCCTAGCATTTGGGTTGAGAGTGGGAAGGACACTGAACAGCTGATAACTGGGTTCAAAACAAGATGTTAAGAGGCAAACATAGTCAAGTTAAATGGTATTAATGAAATTGAAGCAGGTTTCACACATTGGTGTCTGCAATCCCACAAGTGCAAAGTTCTTTTTCTCAGTAACATCACTTGTCTTATTTCTTTTCCTATTTGTATGTTTAATTGAATTATTTTATAAACTGGAATGTCAAACTTCTGAATAATAGTAAATTTCTTGGAAGAGAATTGCGCAAAGTAAAGATTATACATTTTTAGTGGCTGCCTCTGTGATAAAATATGACATGATTAGCTCCTATTGATCTGTGACAAAGAATAGCTACAACTTTAGAAGAATAAATGAGAAACTGTGTTCTAAAATGCTCACTTCATGGGATGATGTAAGGCCATTGGCCATCCACCCCCATCCCACCCCCACCCCAAACATAGTAGCTAATATACTTACAGAAATCTCTATGAGTCTGTGGAATAGAATATCTCTTGGTTCATGAAAATCAAATGTAAAATACTGGAAGGAAAAGGAAGAAATCTAAATACTGAGTTTCTAAGTTCTACCATGTGCCAAGGAGCATCATACCAATACTATATGAGATGTTTTCAACAAGATGCTATGTAAGCAAAAGGCTTCCTTACATGCTCCAATGTTTCTAAATGGACATTTCTTTTCTATAGAGCTTTAAGATTAATCTACATGTTGATCAAGGCCAAGACATATTCCGTATCATCTCAGAGTGTAGGATGTGCTTTTATTAGATGAAAACAGATTCCAACTAACTGTTAGGAAATCTGTCTCAAAGTAAGTCCTTAGAGAGTGGAACCTACTTCTGAAATAGATCGGAGCTCCTGTTTAGCAAATGTGTTCAAACAGATCCTAGACTGCCATCTCTCAGGAATTTTTTAATGGAGTTCCTGATTTAGACCACTGAATCCAACTCAAATCAGTGGTTCTCAATGTGGGTCATATGGCTCCCCAGAAGGGCATGCCTTATTTCAAAATTACTTAATTTGTACATGGTTTCCATGTCAATTCAGTGAATTTGTAATATATTAAGCAGCCCTATCAAAGATGCTTTGCTAGGCATTTTATGTCTTTAAGAATTTTGTTTGCTACTACAGAATTAGGTTTGCAGATAATTAATTGTTTTTGTTAGCTATATAACTTTAGTATATAGTATATACTTATATAACATTTATAACATATCACACACACACACACACACACACAAGATAGTTATATGATACAGTTTAGATTAATAAACAGTGCATATGGTAAAATACCTTTTTCCCAGCTAACAATGACTATGAGGAGAGGTCAAAGAGATAAATGAGGTACAGAAGGGGGCTATGGGCAAGAAAAGGTTGAGAACCCCTGGTCTAAATAGTCCTTCTAGCTCTATGATTCTATGTATTGCTCATGTACACAAGACATTTGCTTCACATGCTGATAAGCTATAACATTTATTTATTAATCTATTGTGTCTTCAAACTGCCTAATAACACAAGTACTTGGGGATCATCTAAATATATTACATATAGAGCAATTACTTAATTTGTACATGGTTTCCATGTCAATTCAGTGAATTTGTAATATATTAAGCAGCCCTATCAAAGATGAGGTCTAAAGCTAAATGAAGTTTGGGGGAAGCAGTTGGCTATGTAACAGTGTTCATGTGCATTAGATTGACAAGTCTGAGAACAGAATTATGTACCTTTTCTTCTAGTTGCATACCTCATTGTAAAAAGGACAGTTGGTGGACTTCTGTGTCGCTGTGTGTCTTTTCTCACCTCCAATTTTCACAACCACAAAAGGGTCAATGTTAACTCCAACCAACTTCTGAGCTTCAATTATGTTGATGCCAATCTATGGAGACAATACATTTCCTAGAATCAATCTGGATATGTCACTATAAAATGAGAGGAATTAAATCAACTACTTGCTTGAATAGGTCTTGAGTCAAATCTCCAGCATTCATTGTTTGTTTTTACAAGTTCCTGATTTGTAAGAATTAATCAGATTTTCCTTTTAATTTCAGGTTTGCTGGATTAAATTGCTCAATCATTAATGGAAATTATAAACAAATATATGGTTTCCAAAATCAGCTAAGAAATAATGAGTTATTGAGCATTCTTTTGAATGATGTATTGGCAGATACCCTAAGAGGTCAACCATGCATACCAGTGTCTGCCAGGCTTTCTATCCACCTGACTTTAATTCTTTAATAAAAATGTTATTCATATTCAAAAAATAAAGCAAAAATACTATTAAGCGGTAGTGTCGTCTTTATTGGCAAGAGTGGTTCTGGATTGCACAAACTTCTTTCGTACAAAGCAGCCCTGACCTTTCTTTGGATGTCTGCTTACCTGGCCAAAAAAAAAGACAAGAAACTGGGCTAACAAGGGGCATCACTGGGGACCAGAGGAGAAACAAGAAGCAACTTCACAAATTTGCCTTCTGGTTTATGACCTACTACATCCATCAGAGCAACTGTTGTGGAATAGTCAGGACACCTCCATCTAGGGCAGCCATTTTATGTGAGTGCCAGAGCATCCTCTCCCAATTTCAAATGTACCCATCGGTTCAAAATGGCTATAAACCCAAAGTTCACAGTAAGAGTGGCAAATACATCACCTGGAAGTTCTGTGGTCTAGGAGCTGCAAAAAGATCCCACTTGGAGAAGACCCTCGAACGGCTAAAATGGAACACCCAACATTAATTAAATATCATAACACTGTCATTTTCTTTGAATTGTTGTTTTAGCTTTGGAATGCAGACTGCATCGGAATATAAAAGTAAAAATAGTGAATAAATAGCCACAAGCTTACTCAAATCTATGAATGCAGACATTTCCCCAATATTTTCCACTGATTTAAGGAAAAAGACTGGGAGCTACAGCTTGTAGAAATGGAAAGTCTGTTGAAGGACTAAATTAATTTCATTAGTTATGCTCAAAACACTTTTTACTTGGGATGTATTCTTTAGTAATGCTGTTTCAGCAGAAGGATAAGCCAACATTTAATTTTAAAATGTAATCACATGTTTTCATTTTGAAAAGAAAGATGGTATTTAAATTTAATTTTAAAATTACATTAAGGTATGTTATACTGGTATTACATTCAAACTACATGATGTACCAAAACACAGTGCACTGTAGTAGCTAAAATCTTGGGCTTAGTTTCAGTCAAATCCAAGCTCATTGAGTAAGTAATCTGTCCCCAGAAGATTAATTTTATAGGATTATTGTGATGATAAATATGGGGATAATGTATATTGGTGTAATCTAATAAAAATTGTTCTAGGTGTTACTGATGTTACTAGTTGCATCTGTACTGTGCTGAGATATAAGCACATACTAAATAAAAAATACTTGTGCTGGAAATAATTTTGTAAGCTGTTTTGAGTCTCCATGGATTAGAGCAACATATAAGCCTAAGTAAGTAAATAAATACATCTACTATGATTTCTGCTTGTGTTAATGGCATGGTGACTTGTGACAGTGTTTCTGAAAACTGAAAGGAGACCTCTATACCTGATATGCAACAACAGATTGTCAGTACGTGTTGTTTGGTTAACAGTTTTCCAAACCTTTCTCCTTTATTACCAGCAGATTTACCAACTGTCAAAACTTGCAAATTATCCTGCTGGGAAGTGGGGGGTGGGGGCAATGCATGAGGATCAGGGAGACAGGGGAGCTAATTCTTTAATTGCCAGGTCTTTGATCCCAACCTACCCAAAAAATGTGGCTGCAAGAACTCTATTTTCCTTCTCTCCAGAAGTGAGTGTGGAAATGTGAAATTCACCTAAAGCCTGTTCAATTTCAAACTGCAGCCACCCTTCCAAAGTCTGAAAAAGTGTTTGCCATCAGATCCATAGTACGAAACAGGGAGGATAGCAGGAAGGACACCCTCTTTAAGCCCTGCTTAAAAGCCAGCAGGAAAATGTGCCTGTTTTTATCCCCCCTACCCTCAGCCCGAGTATGTGGTGGACTGGAAATGAGATAAAGACATCACAAGGACTTGTTTTTTTAAGAATGGTTAGCAAGGCACCTTTCACCTCAGCCACAGAAGTCCAGTGGGTGACTCTGGGCCAATCTCTCTCTCTCAGCCCAACCTATGTCATGGAGAAAAATAGGAGGAGAGTGATATGTAACCTGTCTTGAGCTCCTGGGTGGAAGATGGGATAAGAAATAAAGAAATCTTTGCACCATAGTTAAAGCAGCTTTGGGATACTGGATATTGCAGTTTAATGTATCTGGAATGTATCAGGTTGAAGTCTGTTTTCTTCTGGGAAGAAATTGGAGCACTACTTTATTAACTGCTCAGGTGGGAAAGTACCTGTTTACAGAGCTGAAGACAATCCCAGAGAACTCCATATCAGATACATCGTAGTAATCATCTTCCTCATCATCCATCTCCAGACCTTTGACAAGTTTCCTGCCCAGCACTACGGCCTTCCTATCCAGGTCAGCAGCTCGTTTTGCATCAGCCACCCTGTAGCCCACACCAGAAGTTAAGAATTACAAGGATGGTGTGCTCATCATAATTCTATTATCTCCAGATGCAATGTGTACAATTTGAGATGAAGAACATTACATACAGTTCTCCTTTACTCCCTTGCTACTGTATTTTTATTACTACTATTACTACTACTAGCACTAGCTTAATCTGTATAAGATGAATCACTTACCTGGGAGCACATCTCATTAAATTCTTTACTAAATAGTAATGCAGAGAATTGTGCCCTAAAACTCTGATTTCAGTGAACTAGATTTAAACGTATTTATTCATTATTTCAATTTATATGGCCACCCATCTCAAATTCATGACCCTGGGAAGTGAACAACAGTTAAAAATGCCATAAAAACATATAACATAAAAACAACACATGCATAATCAGCAGCCAAAGTAAAAAAACAAAAACCAACAACAAATCAACATAGCCACTGCATGGGCTCTGCCACACATCTGGTTCTCCAAGATCAGTGACAAAACCACATCTTTAAGGCCTTATGAAAGGCCAGCAGGGTTGGGGCCATTCTAATCTCTGGGGAGATGTGATTCCAAAGGCCAGCACTGTGGCAGAAAAGGCTCTCTTCTTGTGTCCCACCAGACGGCATTCCCAAATAGATGGGACTTGGAGGATGCCTCTCCTGCTGGACCTAATGGAAAAGGTAGACCTAATCAGGGAGAGGTGGTCCCTCAAATAACCCAGCCCCATGCCATGAAGGGCTTTATAGGTTACTACCAGCACCTTGAATTGAACCCAGAAGCATGCTGGCAAACAAGGTGACCAAGGCATGAGTGCCATCCCAGTCCAGGAATGAGTGCAGTTGATGCTCAACACAAAGTTGTGTTAAGGCCTTCCTGGCTATGAATGCCACAGGAGCTGCAAGTCCAGGAGGACCCCCAGATTGCTCACTAATTCTGTTTGGGATTGTCCAAGTTCATCCAGAACTAAAGATAGAAAGTCCCCAGAACCAGAGGGCCTTAGTTGCCAAAGCCACTCAGTCTTGCTAGGATTGAGTTGAAGCCTATTGTTCCATCTACTGGGCAACCAGGGGTGGAGATGTAAAGCTGGGTATCATCAGCATACCAATGATACCTCACACTGTGCCATTGGGTGGCCTCACCCAGTGGCTTCATGTAGAAACCACTACCCATTACTGTCCCATTGCTATCCTGTATCTTGTAAATCACAAGCACTACTGAGTTGATCTTTGAGATCTGCTTGAAATATGAGTTGTAAGCAGACTAATATTACATGTGCAATACTACAACTTGAGAGCCAGTTTGGTGTAGTGGTTAAGACACCAGGCTAGAAACCAGGAGACCATGAGTTCTAGTCCCCACTTAGGCACAAAGCCAGCTGCATGACCTTGGGCCAGTCACTCTCTCTCAGCCCTAGGAAGAAGGCAATGGCAAACCACTTCCAAAATCTTGCCAAGGGGACAACACTGACTCAAAGGCACAAAAAAAAAGGGGGGGGGACACAACTTGGAATATTGCACCAATACATGGACTGTATATGCTTCTACACGCTTGTTACAGCAGCCATATATGGTATCAGTTCAATAATATGGATAAAGAATATGCTACTTACTCTAAATCATCAAATCCAGGGTTGCGAATTATAATCTCAGAACTGTAATAAAGAAAAATAAAACATAAGTAATGCATAGCAAACAAACGTTGGCTGTTGAAATTTGTTACTGATATAACTTTTTTGAGTCTTTCCCTACAAATCCCTTTCATCCAGCTGGGGAATTTCAGTTCTATAGTCAGCCGTAATTTTCCATCTCCCAATTCATCTCAATCCAGTTTAAAACACATCCAAGATTGATTGATTGAACTGAACAATGTAATTTGTTCAAAAGGAAAATAAGCAATAGAAATGCAGAAGTTGCACTCTGTATTAAAAATACTCACTTTTGCTCATAAATCTAAAAGAATAAATCAACATATATTAGAGAGCATCTGGATTAAAATAAATAGAAGAAGAAATACTGTTGTTAGTATCTTCCACTATCTGCCCAACCAGGGAGAAGACATTATTATGCTTTCCAGAAACAAATTGCAAATGTATGTGAAATATTTATTTATTTTATTTATATTTCAAATTCAGATACCACCCATCTCACAAAAAGTGACTATTAGAAATGAGTACACTTTAATTACCCCCAGATCTGTTAAAAAACAAAGTTACCAAGCATGTTCCTTCCAGGAAGTTGGGTACATACGCTGCTTAGAGTCAAGTGGTATATAAGCCCAGTAATAAATATATTCTGACAATTAGCTATACCAAAAAGTGAATCAGCTATCTTTAGCTTGACATAACAGAGAAGACTTTGTTGATAACATGGAAGTAGTAGGAATATTAGGAAAAAGATGATCAAGTAATGCTCGAGTTCTTGATTTTAAGGGAAATTAAAGTTTGGAGTATAGTCAAGCTCAAGAAAATGAATTTTAATAAACTCAGAGCAATTATTAGGAATTAGGAATTTTTAAAAAAGAACACATCAAAAGCACATTTCCAAACAATTTCCAGAATGGAAAAAAAAATAACTGGGAAGATTCTAAAGCAGATCATAAAGTGATTACCTTGGATCCACCTTGAAAACAATGTAGCAATTGTTACAGTCAGCTTGGATTTGCCAATAACAAGTCTTACTAGACTAAGTTTATCTCATTTTCGATTAGGTAAATTCATCAGACTGTGGGACTATATCTTGATTTCAGCAAAGTGTTCTATAACTTTCTAATTAGACAGTTATTTAAGCATGGGCTAGACTTTTTAGTCTGAAAAACAGCTAGATCATCATTTAGAGGATTAAACATGATTACAGTTATGTCGTAGTACAGATTCCAGTACCTGTCTTTCATCTGGTAGACAAAATCTTCCTCAACCCATGTCCCTGCAGCACCATCCGGAGGCTGATATCTCAAATCCAATTCAATATATATCTACAAAGGAAAAGTAAAACTTAGGACTACAAATATTATAAACCCCAAACGTTTGGAGGATTTTTTGTTCAAAAAGCATAGGTCACACAAAAACAAAACTTCATAGAGGATAATAATAATAATATAAATGTATATGTTGCCCAACTCCCAGCAACTCTGGGCAGTTTACAAATTGTTAAGAAAAATTAAAAATAAGAAAACAACACAAATTTAAAAAGAACAAAGATGGCAAACAGACTCAGATGGGAACAAGGAAAAAGAAGAAAAGGGGGCTTCAATCACACTAGTTTTGGGACCCTCCGAAACACCAGTATGGTGGGGGCCATTCAAATCTTGGGGATAATTAACACACAAGCAAATGAAAAGAGAGAGAGAGAGAAAAAATAACAGTAATGAGTAAAATTAGCTGGAGGTTCTTTAAAAGTTCACCCCTGGCACCTCTGGGCAGATGAACTGCCTCTGCAAGGCCTGAAATTGGCTGAAAAGCTCAGATAATCAAAGTAACACATTGCATACTGTAGTCAATCTGTTCCTGGACAATACAGTATCATTTCTGCATTCAGAAAATGGGATGTTCATCTCTGAGTAGAAAACCCCCTGTATTTCAAAAACTAGTATATTAGAAAAAAGACTAGTTCATATCATAAATGTATTTATTTTTCTCTGTATATGGATCTTTTTTTAAAACAGCAACAACAATCTGGGGCTGGAATTTTAATCATACTATAAAATAGTACAATGGCAATTTATGTCATGTCCTGTTGCTTGTGTTCAGTGTAACAATAGGTGTATAATGAACCATTGCCTATGCATATTGAGACTTATGATCCAAGTTCTAAAGAAAATCTCTCCCATAACATTTGAAGGATCTCTGTTCAGGAGAAAGCATACTTAAACACATATTCAATAAACATGAGAATAATTTTATCAAATTAGTTATTGAGCACCATCTTTTCTATCTGCAAACAATCTCCAAAGCATTGTAAACTCAACTTGTATTTTCCCCACTTGTACTCATCATCTGCACATTGAAAGGGATCCAACATAATATTGTCTATATATTTGTGAGCCTTCAGTCAATTACTGTTAACCCTGAGTTAGCCAATAATGGTTCTCAGAGAATACAAGCTAATTAGCATTAATTATCTCTGCTTTAGAATTGCCAAATTCTAAATTGCTCAGTTGCTGAGTTCACTGCTCCAGCTTCCAGCACTCCATGTAATTACACACAGCCCTCCCCCTTCTTTCATTAAAAAAAAAAAAGCAAAAAAGGCATTTCCCCACACACCATCACCACCATCACAACAACCCCCCCCCATACATAGTCCAGCTATTGGACTACATGCATTTGTCTAGTAATTTGCAAAATAGCCTCCTGATAGCTAGCTAAGAGGATCATTGAGTGGTAAGGTTGAATTCTAAAACAATTATCAAATGTTTTGTTGTTCAGTCACCTCTAACTCTTTGTGACCTAATGAACACGATTTCACCAGGATTATCTGTGAACTTCTTTGAATTCTAGTAAGCTCATGTTTGTATCATCAGTACTTATAACTACCTTATATCTTGTTGCTCTCTTTTTAATTGTGTTTGACTTTTCCAGGCTCCAGGGTCTCCTCCAGTAATTTTTGTCTTAATATTATCTGGCCAAAATATTTAAATTTTAGCTTTATTATTAATGCTTCTGATGAACAATTTAGTTTTATTTCCTCTAGTATGAATGCTTTGTTCTTCTTGAAGTCCAAAGTATTCTCACTAATTGTCTCCAGTACCCACAATTTAAAGACATCTATTTTTCTTTGGTCAGCCTTTCTAAGAGTCCAGTTTCACAGCCAGATGTTAGAATTGAGAAAACGATGGCCAAAACAATACGTACCATTGTGGTAAATGTAATATTTTTGTGCTCAAATATTTTGAGTAGATTAGTTATAGACTTTCTCCTAAATAGTAGGCATCTCTTTATTTAATGGCTACAGTCAGCTATTCTATGAACTTTTAAAACTAGAATGATAAATGTCTGCTACCACTTCAACTTCTCTGCCTGTGGACATAAACTTTCTTTCTTTGTTTGTTTAATGTTGTGCAGCAAACCAGATTTTCCACTCCCTTCTTTCAGCTTCAAGAAATTACTCAAGTCTTTCATACTCCCAGCCATCAAAGTGATATCGTTAACATATCTGAGATGCAACATTTATTTCTTAGGTCCAGCATTCCTCATGATATATTCTGCATATAAGGTAAATAAATAGGATGACAGTATACAACCTTGGCACATGCCTTTTTCAATTTTGAACCATTTAGTTGCTCCATATTTCATTCTAATTCCAATTCCTTTTAATTGTTAACCTTAATTTCTTTGCACTATTTATTTAGACACCACCTCAAAAATTTCACAATTGTATTATATCAACATGCCTGTAAAATATGTTAACTATTACCACATGCTGGAAAATCTCAAAATTCTTCCTTTCACCATAGCATCAGGTGTAAGAGTTAATTCTCACACCGTCACAAAGATGCAGTCTGATACTGGATCAGTCTATTACCAAAACAAGAGATAGGAAGAAATGTCCCTCCCATCCAAAAAAAAGTGTGGTGGGAGAAACAATCACAAGTCCTATTTATAGTGAACCTTGATTTCACTATAAATAGGACTTGCATTTGATACATAGCAGCCACTGGAATTCTTTCATAAATGTTTCATTCTTCTCTCCCACCCTCCTTTTTTTTTTTTTTTACACTAAATCTACTTATAAGAACCTTAGTATCATTGGAAGTTTATTTTTGCAATTTCCAGCCTAGATGTTTGACAGAAGCCTGATAAAAGATCAACGAATCTTATTAACACAAATCCTGAGCTATGGCAGCAATGTTATGCGTGACCAAAACTCTATTTTAGGGCTTCTCTCCAAACTGGGGTGAGTGCATGAAATGAAAGGTGGGAGGCATGAAAGGCACTGCAACACTACAGCAAAACAACTCCAGTTTTACAGAAACTGCACTGCATGCCAGATCAGGTTTAATTGAAGTTGCTGGCTACCACCCATAAAGCCTTCTGTGATTCAAGGCCCTTGTTACCTTCTAATCCAGGTGGATTCTGCCTGGCCAGTCTCCAAAGTGAGGACAGGAGTGCCCACAAGACACTTGGAGAAATATGTTGGAAGAAATATGTTGGAAGATGTATTTCATACAAACTGAAGCCTGGGGGGAAAAGGAGTTTTCCAAGGATAGCCAGGAACTGGAGTTTGCAATGAGTTACTGTGTGATGACTGAGGATATGTTCAGCAGCAGAAAGAGAATAACGTATTTCTGTGGTAGTCTCAAAAGGTCTACCTGAGGTGCTTGGGTCATGCCACTGGTGCATTTTAAGTGTTACCACACTAGCCAAATGACTTACCCCAGTAATGCTGTGGTTTTTGTCAACAAGAGCCTCTCTGATGTTTAGTCGTCCAGACATTACTAACTGATGAAGGCTGATAACTAAGGTGCCAAGTAATCTACAAAAACAAAACCAAGATAAAGGGGGGAAAAGTCTAACAAACAATATCCACATCCTTTGCCTTCTCCCATCTCAATCCTTCTGGTTTGGGTTTGAGTGTTTGATGGAATGATTTGGATTGATCTCATACCTTCATTATGACATTGTTTGTTTTAACCATGGTTTATTGAATAAACCAGAGGCCTATTTCATACATAATGCTAAACCTTGAGCCATAGTTTACAAACACAGTGTTTGGTTTACACATTACCTTAGCTATAGCCAAGCAAATCATATTATGGCGTAGCAAAATGTGTAAACCCATATTATGTTGAAATGGTGGTTAGATAACATCATAGTCCTTCTTCTGTATATAACATGTCCCTAAAAATATAACTTTTTTATCATGCACTGGAGGATGCTACCTACAAAAAGAAAAGCATAAAAGTTTAAATGGGAGAAACTCTAGCAATTCGTTATCTTACAATTGCTTGACTGTTCTCTCTTGGTGATTACATTTTCCACCAGTGTCTTCCATTGCTTCTCCTGCACCCTGGATAGCATGCCCCCACCACCTCAAAAGCGGAAGGCATATCTACTAGAAAAATGGGATGTTTATTTTTAGGGTAGCATGAATTAATGATTAATCATCTAGGTAGTTTTAGTGGTTTCCTGTATGTGTTCAAGTGACTGTAATAAAAAGAGTGTAGTTCTGGGTTAGATATACGCAGGATTTAATGCTTTTTTCTAATTCCAGTTTAGCCAGTTTTTAATACTCTGATATTCAAATACCTAAAATGTAATTTAGATATAATTGTTGTCAGGGTCATGTTAGTTAACTGTGCTTGATATAATTGTGCCAACCAAGGTCCACTCCATTCCACCAAATCATAAAGAATATAATTTGCCTAAAGTGGAGTATAGCAGAAAGATTTTCCCAGTGAGTTATGAACATACCTGTTACTGAACACCTTACTGCAGTTGTAAACTTTAACTATCAGCATTTCTTCCATAATGAACTTCCCATAATGTGGCCAGCGAAAGAGCTAAAAAATGAAATAATGCCAGAATGAATACCAAAAGTTTCTGAAAAGTCCTTTTTCCAGCTGTTTATGTCCAATCTCAACAGATAACAAAAATTGTGAGAGTTTATGCCATAATACATTTCATTTATCTTTCTAATGACAGAACGTTCTAGCATTCCCACACTGAATTATGGACATGTAACATTAGGCTTTTCAGATGCTGTTGGAATTCCCATCAACCCCCACCATCATCATGCTGCCTACAGTTCAAGAGATTTGTAATTCAACAGCAAGCTGCAGGACCACTACCTGCATCCAACAGCAATGAGACATCGTTTGTAGTAATTATCTGCATTCAGTGATTACTACTTTCCTCATTCTGGTGTCCTTTAGATTCACTGAAGCTACAGCATGGTCTTTGAACTATACTGGCTTACAATATTTGAGAAATTATGCAATTATATAGTTTAACAAAAATTAGATTGTATGGCAGAATGGGGTTCTACAGTTAATAATGCAACCCTGCTTTCACCAGATTGTACTACTTCCTACTCTGGAGATGCCTGGGTAGTGTGATGGAGAGATACTTTTCCCCCACACATCAGTGAACTGTGATTATGATTGAAAGTTCAGTCTTCCTGCGGAGTGTGATACTTCCTTACCTCTCCAAAGACTGCTTCCTGGCCACAACGTATCTTCTTTGTTTTCTGGGTAAACCCTTGGGAAAAAAGTACAGTTTGTCCAGCTTTTGAAATACTGGTATGAATTTTCTGTGAAGGAACATACTGTATATCCTTAAAAGAAAACCACATTAAAAAATTGGGATTTTTTGGTAGCCACATGTTATCCTGTGGGGTTCAAATCCTCTCCTGGGAATTAAATTCATAGACCTTTGCACTTTAGATGATCATATACAGTGTGTTAACTTTAGGAGCTATCTAGGTTCTCATGTTCAGTGATTGCAGGAAGGGATATATAGGATCTATCAGAATGGTATTTATGGTCTACCTTCCTTTAAGCTTTCTGAGCAGCGATACAGATGTCATATAACATCATGCCCCCTTGTACGGATTTTACATGATTTCCACCACCACTCCTTGGTCAGAAGTATGTAAAAGTCATGAAATCATCTCCAAGAGTGGAGGTGGAAATCATGTAAAACTCTGTACACATAATTTACTAAAATTGGTCCATTCTACGTGTGTCCACTACATTGAGGTCTGGTAAACTGAGGTTTCACAACTGTCATGCTAATTACCCCTGAGAACTTTTTGGGCAACCAGTTATCTGAAGAGGCTCTATAGTATTTTTTCTTTCATTCCATTGCTATCATTTACAGACTCCAAAGCAGTATATATGCTCTTTCACTTTTATCCCTTAATAGCTATGTGAGGCAGATTCATTTGAGAGTTGGTGAACATTTGAAGGTGAATTTCCCTGACCTAAACCCTAGCCCACCTTTACCCAGCCTGGTGCCTCCAATTTTGTTGGATTATAACTCTCAAAATCCCTGTACAAATGCTGAGAATTTTGAAACTGTAGACCCAATACACTTGGAAGAAATCCAAGTTTGGGAAAATTAAACTACTACACAGAATATAGAGGATGCCTTTGTGCTGAGTCTGTTATGTTCAAAATACACATACAAAAACCAGAGGAAGGGACTCATGTTTTCCAGACCCATTATATCAGGAACTTTAGAAGCAAAAAAACCAGGAGAGAGAAATGATAAGTTGTCAGATGAGATAAATGACCCTATTCTTGATATTAAACTAGGGTTGCATAGCTGTTCAGGTTGAGGTCCACTTGAGGTCACATTCTAAAACAGTAGTGGATGGTCAAGACAACATATAAAAAGTTCATTTTATTTATATTAAATTAAATATAGTTAATATTATTCTCCAGTTGAGTATTTCATAATTTACTCCTACAGTACTTCACATTAAACCATTTGTTTTGGTGATAACTTTTGAACATTTCTGGAGGTTTCATGCAATCTGGCAAATGTGTAGTTCTATAGTAGGAATGACATGGATATATATTTGGGTTCTGAGAGATTTTATAGGTTGTGGAAGCAGAACAAAACACCCATGGAGACAGTGGTCATTCCCCACTAATCAGCATAGCATCTTCTAGAGCCATATCCAATCACTCTTGTGCTAATATAACAGTAATGAAGAGATCATCAGTGGCTGGGTAATGCTAGAAGATGTGATAAGTGGCTAGTGGGGAAATGGCCAAAGATTATGATTAGAATATTATTTAATAATTCACTTCCTCTTTCAGATAGAGAGATGGGAACAAACATCTACTCTAAATATTACACTGCAGTGGAAAATAAAAATGGACACCAGACCATTATCAGCTACTGACTCACCACCAATGGGAAGTTGGAGTTAAATGAAGATGAAGGAGGAAATAACTGCTGACAAAAAAGCTATAAGACATTTCCATTGAATAGCAAATGATCTGTGAAGTGGGTAATCCAAAGTACTAAAATATTGATCAGAACGTGTGCTGAAAAATATGAAGTATCTTAATAGGCTAATTAAACTTATTTGGAAGAGATTACTGTACCTTATATATTTATATTTTTTTTTCTATAGAAGTAACCTTGTAGGAAATACAGAATGGATCTTATTGACATTAAATTCAGAATTCTAGTACTGTTTTTGAAAATTGTGCACTGTTTCCTCTCCAGTGACAAAAGCTGCCAGTTTAAGTCATTAACAGTAGAATTCTATACAAGTCTATTCAGAAATAAACCAGACTGATTGCAACTGGACTTACTCTCAGACAAGTGAGTGTGCCCAGCCTTAATATGTATTCTATGTTCTGGAGTCTGCTTCCATATCTTGCTGGAAGCAGAGCTTGAGGTGGATGTGAAATTTAAGACATAGTTTCAAATTTCAGAAAATAGGGGAAACTGAGGATAGACAGTTCTTTAAAGATCCAAAATCTACAGTGGGGTGATGCTTTTACTAGGATCAGCCAAAATGGCAGAAATGGGCGTGAAGGTTTTCAGGTTCTCCAGAACTCTTTACCCAGTAATCGATCTTAGATTTTTTTCCTTCATTGGCTGGATTCCTCTTCATTTTAATTTAATTTTTTTCTCCTTTTCCTAATATTCCTCCCTCCAATCATGTTTGAATATATATAATATTCCTTTGATAGGATAGTATTCTGACAAAGCGGATTACAGTCTGCAAAACTTTAAACTATAATAAATGTTCCCCTTTAAAGAACTGTAAGACTTGGTTGCTGCTATTGATTTGATTAAGCCTGAATGTGTTCTGCTTGTGTCAGTGAACACACAGATGTGCACACATCCCTAAAAGGAAGGACAAGAGTTCACAGAAAGAATAACTGGCAGGTTCACATATCTTTCTATGTTGTATATAAGCCCTACAAGCTCTTTATCATTAGGAAACATCCGTTACAGAGCTATATTTCAGCTTTCAATAGGACAGAATCTTAAACCACTAGATTTTGCCTTCCCTCTTCCCAAAACCTTGTGTGCATCTCCTTCCACCCACCCCATCTTCCCCCACTCCCTGTCCTCCGCACCTCGAAAGCTGATGTGCACCTGTCTCTCCCCGGTCCCTGGCAGCTGGGAGACCCTCTTGATGCTGATACTCAGGGCCATGGTGCTGCGTGGGCTTGGCTCCGTGCAGGACTGATGGCCTCTGTGTGACGGCCGCTGCCAAAGCAGGGCTCCACCTGTCTCTTCAGTGAGTCAGGCCTGGGGACTTGCCAAGCAGGTTTGGCTGACCAGACTCCACCCGCAAGTCACACATTGTCCAATAATAGTAACTCTGTACAGCGCTGGCAGGTAACCAAGCATCTGCACCCCCAAATCAGGAAGATTGCTTTAGGCACAAACTCAGTTCTTAAGAAATGCAATTACCAGCCCAAAAATAGCAGGTACACAGATTTCAGTGTTGAACTAAAAAAGTAATAATACTGCTTGTCCCCTTTTTAAAAAAGCACCTTGTAACATACTCTGTGTATGTGTGTTGTGATGACTTTTTACCCAGTTATCCCCAAACACTTGATTTAATTCAATTTAATTGGTTGCATTCATAAACTAGACTGGAACTTAGATCTGGACCACCCTTTCCCATCCTAACACCCTCCAGATGGGTTAGGACAGCTCCCAGAATAACCATCCAGCATGTAGCCTGGAAATTCTGGGAACTGTAGTCCCAACACAACTGGAAGGTGTCATGAGGGGAAATAATAATCTATCAATCTTTTTGGGCAGAAACACACATTTGGAATGTTGAGAATGGCTGTTGTCAGTCTGGCTGCCTGGTTGGACAAGCCATCCTTAAGTTCCTCTCCCCATCTCCTCCAGTCTCTCAGACCTACCATCATTTTTCTGGGCAGGAGGAGGCACTTTTCTGAAATAGCAGTTCACATTCCTCATAGTTTTTCCATTTTCTAAAAATTCCTTTTGTGTATACCTGGAGTCAAGCAGCATTCTTACGAAGAAAGATTATTTTGCAGCATACTACTTTCCCATCAAGTCTTACAATGGAACTCACAGACTCCCAGGTTAAGCTTAACCAAGTTATAGGAGCAAATTCTTGTGAGAATGAGGATATTTTGCATGAGTTCTTCCAATCTGATAAAATTTGGGGCAATTCAGAGGAAGGCACCTGGACAGTTTGCCTGTCCCTAGTGTTCAATATTAAAAAAAAAGAAAGAAAGAAAGCTATAGAATTGAGCAGAAAAACATGGAACCAGTGGAATATCAAGTCGAATACAATGCTTCTTTCACATTCCAGGAATACAGGCTGTTTTTAAGTGGTGGAGTATATAATAATTTTTAAAAAAGAAGCTGATATAAAAATACAAATTAAAAATTAGAGGGCATGCTATAATTAGTTTTATTTTTTAAAATTATTATTACTTTTTTAATGTAAGCTATCCAGAGCCACTTAGAGATCGGCGGCCTCTAAATTGTAATTAATTAATTAATTAATTACATGCACAGTACAGTGATAAGTTATTGATATTAAACATTTTTTTCAAAAGGAATAGGAGCCCAATATTAATCAAGGGAGGTGTTCTGGGAGCGCAGTTGTAATAAATAGATATCATCATCATCATCACACTCACCCAAAACACTCTTAATTTCTGCTGCAGCCTATATGTCTGGAGACAAAAAGAAAGAGGACTTACCAGAACCAGCTTTGCTCCTTGCCAAACTCAGCTGGAGTCATAAATCTCCATGAGCAATCAGATGGGCTCATAAAACAGTTTGCAATAACAAAGGTGAAGAGGAAGACCAGACCACAAAGAGCTGGTCAGGAAATCAAGGTGGAAAATATCCAAGGGGTTTTTTTTCCCTCTCTCTCTTTCTCTCTTACTTACTGATGGGCTTACATGAGGGAAGCAAGATTAATAGCCTTCCAAGTGTGGTGCTTACTTCATCCTGTCCTCTTTTAGTTTTTTTCAGGTACTCGCTGATGAAGTACATTCCTGGGAACAAGCTGTGGAAAGTTGAGATGATCAATTTTTCTGGGAAGTTGGCAAGAGCCAAAAAGAACTAAAGCAAACTTTTTTTTTAAGGAAGCTACTTGTGAAATCTTGCTTTCCTTTGATTCCTGGCCTAATGCCCTTCTACTCCCAACAATATCCCCAGTGCTCATGTTGGGAATATTTGCAAATAGAATGCTTGGTTGCAGCACTCTGACATTTTTATTTTCGAAGTACTGTACAGTAAAGATGGTGGAGAGAGTGGAAGCCAACTAAGGCTGTCCTCATGATTGCACATGGAGGTATGTGTGTGCTTTTTGGGGTGGCACTTGGACGGAGCTGAGTTTTTGGACTGCCCAGGATATGTTTGGGCTGTTTGGGCTGGAGGAGCGAGCAGGAGTGAACTGGAGTATAAGCTATGCAGAAGCATGATTGCGCTTGCTGGCCACGTCTACTGTGTGTGCTTATTGTAGACTTGGTTTTTTTTTAATTTGGCTGCAGCTTGGGTTAGTTTTGGAGGACCTGTTCAGGCTGCTTCGGAGGACCGCTTGAGTTTCATGTCAAGCGGGCTGAGGAGCAGGCCAGAGGACAGGCCATTCCTGAGTACAGGCCGCTCCTGTTCTTTTGTCGCTGTGCTTGTGACTCAGTGGCATTTTCTCCCTTTCTGCATCATCTTCTCTGTGCTGGACATTGAGGTGTGGAGGTGTGGGTGGTGGCCGGGGGGCAGGGGAGTGGCAGGCTGCTGTCAACCCCCTCCCCTGCGGAGGCCTTTTGCCTTTCCTCCTGGTAGCCTTAGCTGGAAGAAAGGTTTGGCTTCCATCTAAGACTAAGTGCCTGAGTGCTGGACTGTGGGTTTCCCACTCTGAACTGCCTTCTTCCTCTGGGTGAGAGCCAGAGGAGAAATTGGTTGGGGTGAGTGCAAAGGGAACCCTCTTTTAGCTGGTGGAAGCAGCAAGGGAGGGGTCCTGTGAATGCTAGGGTGTGTGAATGTGTTGTAGTGAGGTGGGGAGGTGATTGCTGGGTACCCTGATGGTGCTGAGAGCTGGTGAAACTAAAATGCCTTGGGACTCCCAGCTTCCCTTCCCAAGGGTGGCTGGTGAGGACAGTGGGAGACTCCCAGCCTTGGGAATTGAGGGGCCAGGATATGGGGTTGGGGCTACCATTGGGAGGATGGGGGTGGGCCAAGGGATTATGGTGGTGACGGGCACAGGGAGATATGGTGGGAGACGGGGAGCGGGCTGTTCTCAGGGAACACAGGACTGTTGTTTTATGCCAGTCTCACGTTCCAGCTCCTCATTCTCAAGTCCTGTCAGCAGATCTTCAGAGGCCCTGGCTTTCAGCTGCTGCTTTTGAATGCCAGGTCAATCTGTAATAAGGCCTTCCTCATTAGTGATTTAATCATTGATGAGAAGGCCAACCTGGCATGTATCATCAAGACCTGGCTGGGTCTGGAAGCGGGGAGGGGGCAGCCCTTTCGGAGATATGACCAGTTGAGTTTCGGGTGTGGCATCAGCCGAGATCTCAGGACAGGGGTGAAGGTGTGGTGGTTATCATCCAGGAAGCTCTTACGGCTTTCAGAGGCACTGTACCCCAAGTCACTGGATGTGAGATCCTGTTCATTGAGTTGGGCTCTAGGGATCAGTTGGGATTGCTGTTGTTGTACCAGCCTCCCTGCTGCACAGCTACCTCCCTGACTGAGCTCCTTGACTCCATTTCTGGGCTAGCAGTGGAGTTCCCCAGACTTATGGTTTTGGGGGACTTCAATCTGCCTTTGCTAGGAGTGGGGTCTGAGGTTGCTCAGGAGTTCATGGCCACCATCACGGCCATGGGCTTATCCCAGATTCATCCAGAGCCCGACATGGGGGGGGGGGTCACCAGATCTGGTGTTCCTGTAGGAGCAGTAGCTATGTGATCTGAAATTGGGGGAGCTTTTGGTGTCTCCTTGTCATGGTCAGATCACACTTTGATTACCATGGGATTCTCTAGTGCCACTATCCACTGCAGGGAGGTTGGACCCATTAGATTGGTCTGCCCCGACCAACTAATGGACCCAGATGGGTTCCAGAGGGAGCTGTGGGTTGTTCTTGCTGGTTTGCTGCACGGCCCATCCGAAGTCTTGGTCGTCACTTGGAATAAGGGAGCGGCTGAGGCTTTGGATTGGATTGCGCCCATGCGACCTCTCCCCTCTCGAGGATCCTGACATTCCCCATGGTTTACGGAGGAGTTGAGGGAGATGAAGCAAGAGATGTCTAGAGTATCCCTGGTGCTCAATGAGGGACGAACTCGACTGAACATGGGTTAGAGTTGCTATTAAGGCCTACCTAGTGGCGGTAAGGGCAGTGAAGTGGCAGTACTTCTCCGCCCTTATTGCATCCGCAGATAGCCATCCTATGGCTCTGTTTTGAGTGATACAAGTCCTCCTGGGTAATGGGGGCTCAGAGGACCTCTTATAGGGGTGTGTGGAGGAATTTACTGAGCACCTGTTGGACAAAGTCGCTCTGATTCATTCTCAGTTGGGACGTTGGCCTTGTTGTAGGTCTGGTGGAGATGTCTAGGGAGGAGTCTTGCCCTGTTATCTGGGAACAGTTTGAACCTGTTGGACCTGAGGAAGTGGACAGGGTCAATGCCCTGAGAAATACTTTGCTTGCACTAATACTGTTTGGAAAACACCTCTAATGTTTTTCATAGTATTATTTTCCATGCTTTTTATCATTACATCATGGTTATTCAAAGTCAGACTTACAATCCAGAAGAAACCTGACACCTAACACTTAACTATGTATGTATAACAAGATTTGTTTGATTAGGTAAAAGCATGGTAATATCAGTTCATTATAAACCGACCTTTCATAAGATCCTGTACGGACTACTGAAGAAAATATTGGGCTTGCCTTCAAGCAATTTGATCCATATAGCTCTGGCATGTGCCCTTTCAAAAATTATTCTCAGCCATGATGCTGTATTGATAAATACTTAAACATTGGCTTTCCACTATGCTTTTTGTCCAACAGGACTATAAAAAGCTGAGTAAACTCAAGAGAGATATCGAAGGGAGGTAAGAGTTTTGCTGCATTAGACCAAGGCGGACTGATTCAGAACTTTGATACCCTGAGTATCCACCCAGCTGCTTCTTAGAAATCCAGAAAAACAATTAACAAGGTAACAATCTTTCTCAGATGTGTTCTGTTTAGTGGAATTTTGCTTGCCTAAAAAGGTGGTTCCATTTAACAATTTTAAGTAACCTGTTGGCACAACTATCTTCCACAAATTTATCTGATCTCATTTTTAAACACTAATTGCCATCACATCTTGTGGGAGTGGATAAGCTGCTAGGGTAAGTTTATTTACATTGCTGTATCTCAATTGTGGCATTTTTTTATTTGAATATTCTTTATGTTTGAAAAAAGAAGTTAAGACTTTTGAAGGGGTGAAAAAAAATTCTGGAGATTTTGCACATTTGGAAAACTACTTGAAGCAATCAATTGGTGGTATCCACAGAAGGGAGTGTTAAAAAAAAATCAAGATGGTGATTGGAGCTGCACAGTTGAAGTCCCACATCTTGTACACAGATATAACATTGACATATGTACAAAAGGGGTGGGACTTTGACTGCCATCTTGATTTTTTGTCTCTCTCCCCTCAATCCCTGCAAATGTCAGTGCAACCAATAGCTCAAAATTGTGCCAAAGTCATCACACTTGATTGGAAAATCCAGTGAGTTTAACAGCCCCTATGCTTACTAGAGACAAGTAAAACAACTAACGGAGACTTCATCGGCCAGAAATATGCTGTGGAACTTCATTCCAGCCACTCCCCAAATCAGCATAGAGTCTTATGCCAAAGGAGAAGGCAGTCATATGAGTCATATCAAAAGCACACAGCAATAATCAATGTCTGATGAACTAATTTGAATCTTGTGCTACAAACTTTTTGTCACCTTTTGGAACAGGCCTTGCCAAACTGTATTTCGCAGGGCATAAACTTTTCAACTGAGAACCACTAGCAGGCATGAAATGCTTATACTTAACTGATACACAGCAAATCCACTTTGGTTTGTAGGACTGCTAAAATAGAAGCCAGATCCTTCTTGGTATATACACTGTGGGTATGTTCACTTGTAATTCCTTATTGGTTAGACACTATCACTATTCTTCCCCCCAAGTTCTGCTGTGCAGCCTCATTGTGGTGGGGGTAGGGGTGTTCTTGGGAGGAATGAGTGAAGAATGTCTGGAGTGCATGCCAAGAGTATATTACCCAAGCAGTGGGTAATGATTTCCAAATAAATTCTTTAAAATCAGACAATGTGATTTTCTGGATTTCCCCCCCCCCCCATTTTGTCTCTCATAGTTGAGGTATACCTATGATGAAAATTACAGGCCTCTCTCATCTTTTTAAGTGGGAGAACTTGCACAATTGGTGGCTGACTAAATACTTTTTTGCTCCACTGTAAAGCTGCACATAAAAACAATTGTCAGCTTCTCCTCCATGGAGTTCTGCTAAGTTTTCTTAAAATAAACCTATTTACTAAGGTAGGACACATTCTAGTGTATTTGTTTCGGCCAGAAATTTTTTAGAAGCAGAATCTTTCCTTGAGAGACTATGGCTTTTTGCCTATTCAAACCATTTGTGTGCCTAATGATAGGACCAGCTCTACCATTAGACCTAGTGTTGCAACCACTTCTGGCAGCATTTGCTCAGAGGTAGCCATTTTTCTGGCCATTCCCCTCATAAAGGAACTGTAAGCACACACAGCCTCCCTGGCTTGCCCCACTCACTCGCCTCATGCATTAGGTACAGAGGATTCTACCCTGTTACCATCATGGAAATAAGATGAACTGTCAGTTTGTGTGAAGAATCTTGTGCTTTGTGGCAGGCACCAAAATATCCTGGAAAAACACTGGAAGAATAGCTGTCTTGAAGACTTGAAAATCGCTCATCACATCAAAATTCTCAGTCAGGAGATCAGATTCCTCACGTTGGGACTTCCAGAATTTGTCGTCAGTATGGCCTTTGGCTACACTAGCTGGGGATTCAAACAGCACTCAAGATGTGTTTATACTAACGCCAAAATATATGATTTGTGAAGTTTTCCTATCTTTTATGTATATATTAGGCATCTCCCCAAGTTCCCTATGTAATATTTATTTATTTGATTTGATTTGTATGCTGCCCATCTCCCCCGGAGGGTGACTCTGGGCGGCTCACAATTAAAGTAAAACCCCAAAACAGTTAAAAATATAAATATCCACATTAATTAGTTAAAAAGTCAGACTATATAAAAAGATCCTAATTCACTGAAAACTATTTTCATCCACACCTGAGAAGTTTGATTCAAATAAGAGACTTATGTTTTATAAGGAGATTTAATAGAATATGTAATACAGAAGGGAATTCTTACATTAGAAACATTATTTCCATTAAATGTTTAATCAAACAGTGCAATAGAAGACCGTCCAAGCAGGCAATTTTCAAAAAGGCCTGACATACTTTTTATTCTCTCATATACGTTTCTCTGAAGACCTGGACTTTCTTTCCAGAGATGAATTTTATTTCACAACAGTGACAATGGCCCTAACAGAAAGCATTGTCAATAAAATGAAATGAATTCAGCCAGTCAGGAAGAGGGCAAGTTCATATGGTTGCAATACAGAGAAACTTCTTACGTACATGAAGAAGTGGGGGGAAAGGTGATATGTCAACAATAACATCTACTTTAAATGCAGGTTCAGGTGTTGGCATTTCTAGTTTAAAGGGTCATATAACAGGTGCTGGCAAAGATCCCTGCTTGAAACCATAAAGAATTGCTGCAGGTCAGAGTAGACAACTCCATGCTAGAGGAACAAATAACCTGACCTAGGACAAAGTACTTATAGGCTTCTCCATGGCATGACCATACTTACTAATCTCATCATCAAGAGATTATATTGGGAAATGGCCTTGAAACTTTCATACACACACATATATAAAATAGCATAATGTAGGAGTGCATATGAAGGGGGGGGAGGAGCTGAAGCCTACACTTCCATTTTATATACCAGATTTACCAGAACAAAAGCTAAATCTTTTCAATTTACATTTAATTTGATAAAAAAATCAAACAGTGTATTTCAGAATTCCTCCCTTTTACAATTATGGTGCAGTTGTACAGCTGATCTTGCAAACAACTGAGGTTCTGCTATGTGCACAGAGATCCATGCAGTACTCTATATTATGGAAGTAACTGAGAAGAAAAAGTAGATCATTTCGTATACTGGGTGCCATGTGCCTTCCATTTTAATACAGGAGAGAAAGAAAAATTGAACTTTTAGTTCCAAAGGATTGCAGCTTGCCTATAGAAAGGCAGCATTTCCATCCTATCTGGGTTGGAGCTAGTATTTGTCTCAAAAAAGTTCCTGCTCTGCCATGACACTGCAAGCTGGCAAGTTGGCTTTGGAAAAGTTAAAATCTGCACATGTGTAAAGTTAGTCTAAACTGTTAATAGCAGTTGTTTTACAATGTTCTGTTTTTCTAGCACTGAAAATGCAGGTAGTCCCCGGGTTAAGAACACCAGGGTTACAGACGACCCATAGTTAAGAACTGTCAGGCCCAAGAACAATGATGAAACAGTCCAGTCCAGTCCCTTTATTTGCTTACACCTTATAGACAGAATCTTGCCGAACTCAATCTATACTACAGCAACTAGTGGATATACCCTGTAAGATTCTAGGGAGCGGCTATCCTGAATCTCTTTCTGTTCTCACAATCCCCCTGTGGACTATGCTGCCTCTTGCCTCCTCCCCCCTCCTGGAATGCACCCCCTTCTTCCTGATACCCTTGATCTCCCACAAGAACAGAGCCTATTGTAGTAAAATTCGAGTTAAATACACACTGATTCAAGTTAGATAGACAATAGTCTGAGTTCATTACATAATACTACTCACATAGTATTATACAAAAAATCTGTTCTGGCTTACATAAACATTCGACTTAAGGACAGATCTTGGGAACGGAATTTGTTCTTAAACTGGGGACTTCCTGTACCCCATTATAATTTAATTTTTTTCCACAATATACCATTTAAAAAGAAATAAATTTCCCATTGAAACCCAATTTGAAACATGGTATACACATGCAGCAGAACGTTATAACAATACTTGAGACAGATAGAAAAGGGGTTCTATAATTTGGGAGTGCTAGGGTAAGAATACCTTCTGAATGCTCCTCCAAATAAAAAAGCACTCTTATTTCCTACTTCAGAGAAATATTTAATTTTAATATAAATAATTATTAAAATTACTGAATGCTTCCCACCTACAGTCTAAATTGGTATGATCTATTTTACCATCTTAGAAATCAACTGTGACCATTCTGGTATGAGTGTAGAGTAAGCCTTAGAAATTGAATCCAAACCCCTGTCAAATGAGAAATCCTAAAAGATCCCAAAGCAAAACAAATATAATCTCTTCTCTCATAACTGGTTCCACGATTGAACTATGGAAACAGCCTCCCTAAAACTTAAATTTATTATATGTGTCCTGTGATCTATTGTGATAGAGAATAGGTCTAGACCTCTCTAGAAAGTACAGTCAAAGCAACTTTTCTCAAGGGTTTGAAAATGGACACTATATCACTATTATAGAGTTCATTTCAACTGAAATGTAACATGATAAATAATGTGATTATATTTTAAGCATGTTAGAGCTTGATGTATTCACTAAGAAAGCAGCTCTATTTGGATCAAACTGCAATTTCAGCATTAGGCTATTTCACTATATAAGCACAGATTTAATTTCCTTATGTTTGGATTTGTAAATAATACTTGATATTATTAATCATTAAAGTTATTCAAACACATTTTCCTTTAAATCAATAAGATATGTACTTTCTTTTAAAAAGCTTTCATACCCCAAAGTTATAGAAAATATGAAATGAACTTTCCAAAAATACAACTGAAATTATTTAATATAAAATAGTTTTTGCTATAACTGAAAGCATCTGAGGGTCTTGTAATTAGGAAGGTCATGGATCAGTGGCACAGCAATTCTTGAAAATTATACTCATGTTTTCCTGCTAGTTCTCCACTGAGTATCAGTGAAATACGTTATCTGAAATATATTTTAAAATACTCATAATCTGAAACATAAGGACCAAAATGCCTTTGAGAAACAAGTCTGAATGCAAATAGCATCATTTAAAAAATTAAACATTGATATGTATTCAGGTTTTGGAAATGTATATTAAAATTCCTTTATGAAGAAAATAGTTTTAAATCTTTGGCATTTCATAAAGGCACACAAAAATTAAGGCAATGCTATATCAGTGCAAGAAATTTGTCTTTCTACTGACAGAAGAAATGTCCAGCAATATATAATAAATGATTTATATATATACATACATACATATACACAGAAAAGGTTCACAGCAGCTAGATTTTCATAGCATTCAAATTAGGGAAAGAAATCGTGCATAGGTCAACTATTTTAGTGAATTTTTGATATGTGTAACATATCTGACATTCTTGTAATCAGAAGAGGTATTATCTTGCACAAAATATAGGCTTGTGCTAAAAAAATAATATAGTATCAAAGTTCCAACAACTACTTCTGCATGATCATAATTTCCTTTAAAAAATAACCAGAAAAGAGCTTAGGGTTATGGCTAATAAGGAAAGGTGTGAGGGTACAAACACAGGAACCATCAACCATTTAGTGATCTAGTAAGTACCATCACCTTCCCAAAACCACTGCTAAAACCCCATTCAGGTGGTACAATTTCAACAGAAAAAATATACTACAAAGTTTTAATCTTGTTCTAAACCCAAGTTTCTTAATTTGATCCCACGCTACATAGCATTATGATTTGAGAAAAAATAGTCATGAGAATTCCTATACATTTTCTGCATACAACATGAGCAATATACACAGAAACCACAGAAATGTTTTGAATGCAGTGTTATTATATGCCAGAAGATAAATACTATTCATTATTAAACATTTTATCTGCAATATTATTTTCTTTACTGTTAATTTAAACAATAAAGATATTCTTCACTTTATGGCTGCTTTTCTGAAGGCAATTTTAGAGGAGCCATGCCAGCTTTCTTGAAGTAGGAGACTAGTTGTTTAGGAATTTCAGCCAATACTGCCTGGGAAAGTGCCTCTCGAGGAGCCTATGAAAAAGAAAATGTAAAGAAATGAATGCTATACATGTACAAAGTACCTGCACCATATGTTTCACAATATAAGAAGAAACTTAACAGGGAGAGTAGATAACATCAGGAAATACCATACGAGGATAAGCAGTGGAGAAATGCCCACAGTTTTCATACTGCTACCCAGAATTAGTATAACTGAACCATTTCAGTTAAAAAAATAGTAGTAAAATTATGCATTTCCTAAACTGTAGTTTGCCTCAAATATCTTTTACATTTTATAATACCAGCATTTGAAGCAGTAATTTTTAAAATTTTAAAAATAATTGGTTACAAAATCAGAAGAGAAACATACCTTTCCTCCCATACATTTTGTCACACCCTTCCTTATTAACGTGGATAAGGTTATAGTGTTAGTTGTTTTTCATTCCAAAGATTGCAAGACAGATTTTAAGCAGAATTCAAAACTAAATCTGATCAGCACCGGCAAAGGTGCAACATTTTACCCAACTAGACTCTAACCATGGTGAATCAGAATAATCAATACAGACAAAGGAAGGCAAATTTGTGATCCAAAGGAGAAGAGGGAGGCCTTCTTGTGCTGTTAAATATGGCTAAGAAATGGGCAGAATTATATCTTTTACAAGCTTCTGCCTCTGAAAGAACCAGTATCTGGTGTTAGAAAAAAGTGCAATAATCTTCTAGAACTCTGAACATCAGATCAGTGGCTCCAGGTATCACTGTCATCAAGAGTTTGTTCAGATTTACCTATTAAGACATCCCTAGTTAAGCTTACATTTCTTGATCTAAAATGTGTCAGTCTCACACAGTTATTTATGTCAACTGACAATGAATACTGCTGTTTATCACTGGAGTGGAGAAACCTGTGACCTTCCAGTTAATGTGGGCTTCCAATTTTCACTTACTGCAGAACCAGTGGATCCACTGACCTCCAAGGGTCAAAGATTCCCCAGCCCTGCTCCATATTCTTTGGTTATAGCTAGAGTCACATCCCGATAGCAAAATGGTTGAAACAGCATAAAAGCATATGTAATGTATAAAAATAAATAAATTTGGAAACTTACATTTTGGAACTGTCTGAAAGGCACGAACTGGACAATATCTCGTGCAGCTGGCTCCCCTGCCAACGACTTCAGGACACCGTCATCCCCATCCAAAAATTCCATGGCTTTGAACTCAGCACTGCCAACACCAATGATAATGATAGACATGGGCAGCTTGGAGGCATTTACAATGGCTTGCCTAGTTTGGTCCAGATCAGTTATTTCCCCATCTGTGATTATCAGTAAGACATAGTATTGCTGCAAAAAATTAAACCAATCAATAGAGGTTAATTAAATATAACATAACAAGTGTGTTGAAATGTTATAAGTGACTGAAATGCAATACAATATAGGTCTGGTTTTTATTTTTCTCTTGGTTCACAGATTTAAAATTAGAGTTTAAAAAAGGTGATAAGTATTCCATGTTGCATAACCTCATAAAGCATATATACTAAAAATAGAATGGATTGGAAAGAACAGTACAATTATTTTTAAATATCAGCTCTGTTCTCAAGAGTTATTTTCAGGTTTTGCTTTGTTTAATTTATTTTAGAGGACACTCGAAAAATTGCCTATACCTTTATGTGAGTTATACTTACTGGTCTGACATTAAGGTATGGATACGTTGTCTTCAAAAGTAGCTCCCACTTTATGGAATTTCTTCTAAAACATTGTATGTTTTAGTAAGAACTACCAAGGGGGGGGGGAAACCTCCCCCACCAATACTGACAGGGCAAGCTACTGTATATAAACAGAGAGCAAACCCATTCCCTTCCGCACTGAAGATTTTACCTAGTCGGGTAATGAAACATCTGCAAGGAAACAACTAAGCTCAGAGAAACCCAAGGACTCCACTTAGCTTCATATTAGGAAAGGGAGTCTTAGAGGTCTCAAACTCATGGCGCACAGGACACATACAACCACATTTTCTGCAGCCTACATATGGTTGATCCACTCATGCTACCTTGCCTTGAACACTCTGCATGGAAGCATTCATTCACTTGCCTCCAGTGCCTTGTTCACAAGCCTTCCCTCCAAGAAAGCTTGAAGGCTTTTTGTTGGAAAGGGGGACAAATGGGCATAGATCCTGAATGCAGGCAGATGCCACCCCGTTTTCTTCTCTCTGGAGCTGTCTTCCTCAGCCCTGTAGGGCAAGACTATGAAAAGGCAAGTGGAGGTTGAGCTGAGCTGAGCTGAGCTGAGCTGAGCTGAGCTGAGCTGAGCTACTTGGCACTGGCACTCAGCTGCTGTAGGATTCATATATAACCTTGCAGAAGGAACACAGAAATGGTTAGGACAAAATCCTGGGGAAGTAGAAGGCATGGGAAAGTGATTCAAAATAAACCCCACCTTGAGTCTGTTTGGTATAAAAGAGGGCAGAGGGAAACTGTAGCAGGCTTTCGAGGTTGTTATTATATCCTACAACAATAAAGTAGCATTTTTATAATCCCTGTACTCTTTTCTGCATTGGCCTACTTTGAAGGGCTGACAACCGCTAGGCTAGAGGAGGTCTGGCCATTATAGGGAGAAGTACTGTATACTGCTTTTTTTGTTGTGTGAGCTGCGGCTGTTGCCTAACTGCTCAAGAAAGCAGAAGCAATGGTGGCAGTTGCCCACTTATCACAAGGGAAGGAGCAAGATGAAGCCACATGAGGCTGCCAGGACTGGAGTATCGCCTCAGTGCTGGGTTGGTAGCAGCATGTTCCTACATATGGCAGACATGAGTTGTCCAGGCTGCATGTCTCTCTTTGGTTTCTCCTCCACAAATTCCTTGGCAAAACAAAGCTAGGAGCAGCAGCAAAGAATGCCATTCTTTGGTTCTCCCCTGCTCACACATTTCAAACTTGGACTTCAAGGTAAGAAAATGGTAATGAAAAGAACATCATCTTCTCCAAAAGAAAGGAAAAAAGAGCAAAGAAAGAGACTTGTGGCATCCTTCCATGCACCATTTCCCCAACCTGTCCCCATGGAAAAGGTGATCAGGGACTAGAGGCTTTGTTCTGGTGAAAAAAACCTCAATGCACCTAGGAAGCTTTTTGTGGAAGAGGCAGGCAGGTAGGCAAGTTGTTCCTACAAGAAAAGAGATGTGAAGGGCCTTTTTAGGGCCACCACTGAGGCTAAGGGAGGCAGGAGTGAGCTGTAATAATTGGCTGGGATTTCTGCCAAGGATAGGAGGGTTACTGGGTGGCAGAGAACATCTGGGTGGCAGAGAATGTTCCACTTTTGCTCCAATAGCAAAAGGCCTTGATGTTTAATCAGAGGCTGTGGAGGAGGGAAGATGTGTCTTCTTTGGAAACTGAAGCTTCTCTTTGAAAATGATCTGTCTTCACTGGACAGCCTGAAGGCTTCTAATGGTGTGGAGTTACAATGCCCAGCACTCCTCACCTTTGGCTGGAGCTGCTGAAAGTTGCAATTTTTTAACATCTGGATGACCTTACAGTAGATTAGGAATTAAAACATAATTATTACAATGAGGTAACTTTTCTATCAAAGAATGAAATGTTTTTGGTGTGGTGGCCCTTGAGCTAACAAATTGGTCCTCATGCAACACTTGCGAGAACTTGAATTTGAGTCCCCTAGATTAAATGAAAAGTAAAAGTATAAAACAAAACATCAAGCCAACTCACAGAAGCAGTCCTTTCTTGTGTTGAATGAGCAGCAAACCTAGCAACATGATTTATAATTGGAGAGAAGTTTGTTGGACCATAGAGACGAATCTGAGGCAAGGCCTGTCTATAGGCATCTATAATTCCTTGGATTCCTAAAACAAGGAAATAGCAGGATTATTGAAAAACTTTGGATACACTATTATATGCATCCTTCAATTGTTTCAATATAAAGAGCACCAAGTAATAATGTACTGGTAAAGAAATGGGGATGGTAGTCTACTCAGATTAGGTTGATTATTGACCTACAGGTAATCCTCAGGTTACGATGGCAATTGTGACTGGGAACTCCCATCGCTAAGCGATGCGGTCATAAAGCATAACATCATGTGACTGCATCGCTTAGTGATGGCAATTCCAACAGTCCCAGTTGCAGTTTAATGGGTCCCTATATAATGTAACAGATCAAATTTCTGTCTGGACATTTCCTTGAAATAAAGAACAACTGCACTGTATCCAAATTAGTCTGTATGAAGCTATTACATTAACATTAATTTTACATCATTTGTGGTGATTTAACACACATTTGGGAGTAATGAAACACTATTCCCACAACTCGCCTACTGAATTGAGGTTTCACTCTATTCAAAATGAAGTTCTTACCTAAGAGTTTCAGGTAATTTTTAAAAATTCTCCTACCCAAAGTGTACAACTTAACAGACTTTGGATATTTTTTATTTTATTTCTAGATATTTTATCCTTCTCTGTGTTAAAACTGTTAAAATAATGCAGTATGCCAGCAAACCATAGAAACACAGTGGAATATGTCTTTATACCACTGCTTACAACAACATCATTAAAAAAAAAAAAACCAGACTCTTGAAAGTGCCAAAAAGTGAGCTGTGATGGAACTGAGATGCGTTGAGAGGAAATTCCATCACCTTGCCACACAACAAAAGGGATTCTTTCACAGGTACCAGCCATACTTCAGATGGCAAAGTGATTTAGAAAAGGCCTTCAACAATTATTCCAGTGTTGGGTAAGGTTATAGGGGACAAGTGATTTCTTATATAGCATGAAAAACAAAAGCAGTTGTGTTGACCATCAACAAAAATCAACTTCAATACTAAGTTCATTTTGCCTGATGAAGAGTTCCAGAAAATTTGAATGCTTTTTTTTTGGGGGGGGGGGTTAATGGAAGAAAGTTATTGCCTTAAAATGGTTGGACTGCAACTAATATATATACTACATACATTTGGTATTAAATAATTCTAAGAAAATTCAAGTTTTATTTAAAAAAAACTAATAAAGAATGAAGAAAAGATAGGTATGAACTAAAAACCAATTGTTTCTTGGCTAAGGTGTATCATTGACTAGAGCTGTTTGTGGGTTCCATGCTAAGCAATACAAGTTCCTATCTTATTTCATATAAACTAATTTTTGCTCCCGCACTTACACTAATGTTTTATCCCAAACTGAATGTTATGGAAACAAAAACTTTACTATCAGATGAAATCATACTACTGCTTAATTTCTTTTAAACAGAGAATACAGTTTTCTAATATTCAGATCCTTAGGTACACCCTATAATGATGATGATGCCCATGTACTTTATCTTGACTGATTGTCCCCAAAACTGTGTTGCTCCTGTTATGAGTTTTAATGAAAGATTCTTTGCATCTTTTTTCTTTCTTTTAAAAATATTTTATTATTAGAAGAAAAATAAATGGTTACCTTGGCAATAAGGATTTGTGGGATTAAAGTTCAATGCAAATTCATGGGAAACCTGAGAAGACAGACATATTAAGACATGGAATCAATGGTAACTAAAAATTTGTGACAACAGTTTAAGTAAGAAACCCACCTGCCAATCTGGAGGAACTTGAGCTCCAAACCCAAAGGCAGGGAACAGCTTATCACTGAAAAATGAACCAAATTAACACAAAAATACTTAGATCAATATTTTTATTTTAACTGCAGGTTGAACAAAATAAATCCACATTTAATTCTAACTTAACTGAAGTGGATTGAAGTTACATGTAGCTGTAGTTATCATGGGCTTTTCTGAAATGATAATGTTCAGAAAGCTAGGTTTTGAGATCAAGTCTCTTTTAAACTGAAGAAGAAATGGCTTTCTAATATTCATTACCATACAAGAAGTAATAGCAGCTTCTTATTTAAATATAATTACCATAACTTCTACAGTGAAGTATTAAACACATAGTGTTGTTTTATGAGACAGTGAAATAAGGAACACAGTTGTTTTCACTCACAAAGAACCAATAAAAATGTTAATGGCAAAGTGGATAATGAATTACTCTTCTTAGGATCAACACATTGGTAGCAACATATTCTGCAAGAATAAACTACCACTTAAAAGGACATACAGTTTATAAGAATGGACCTTTTGAATCTTTCTAGGTCTTAGTAAGTAAATAAGCTAAAGACAGTAAGTTTAACATACGTGTCATAATCCTGGACCACGCCACCCACACTCCAGATAGCAGTGAGATATTCATTTATCCCATTTGGACTAATATAGTGAAGAGAATCTGGTGATTTTGGATCTCCATTGGAACCAGTAAAATCTATCCCCACCTGACAGAAGAATAAGGAATATAAATAAGAAACAGCTCTTTCTACTCATTAAGTTTGGGTTCAAGAAAACCCAGCTACAACTACAGAATGCTGCTGAAATGACTTCTCAAAAGCCAAAGGCAAATTAAGATGAGGGTTACTAATATCACAGATGAAGACAGGTCAGTTGAACACAGGTCAAACATACTCATCATATTTAACAAATGTGGATAATTATAGAATGATTATGTATTAAGAGCTATACAAAAAAGTAAATTCATTTTATTAAATATATAAAGCAGATTTACAGTCAACCATAGCCATTTCTATCTTTATTTTTTAAAAAAGCATTTTAACAAATGTTAGCATGCAATGACTATTAGTAAAATATAAATGCTTGAGCTTACATTTAATCTAGAAATCAAAGGCATGCAAATACATGATAAACTCACAGTGAAATTAATTTGGCAACCACCCATGATATAATCCAGGAACGAATATTCTGTTTCAATCTGTGAAAAACAAAACCATTACAACATTACCACTTCTACCCTACATGACAAAGTCAATCAGATGAAATGAAATTCTTCATACCTTGCAGGATTTTAATCTAATAATGCCAGAGTTTTTGTAACTCTTCTTTTTTCTTTTTTTTTCAGGGTGAATACATTCAAATTCAATCTATATGAAAGCAACACATGCAAAATCAAGATTATTGATCAATGTAATTAAGACTTAACATTTTAAAATGAAGCAGGAATAATGCTTTTGGTAAATTCCAAATTAATTTGGAAAAAAAAAGATAACCAAGAGGAACTACTATATTATTTTTTCTTGAGTTGTACAAAATATTATGATAGTGGAAAAGTACAAATGTTAAGTTCATTATGCTAGCACAAGAATGGGGAACCTAAGTTCCTTCAGATAGTGCCAAGCTACAACTGCCAGCTTTCAGTACAACTGGCCATGCTTCCATGGATTGCTGGAAATTGTAGTTCAGCACCAGCTGGAGTGCCCCGGGGTGCCCATAGCCCTGTTAGAGCAAGTGCTAGCAGAATAACCTGGACAATTAATACTTAATTTAATGAAGACATAAGGAGCTGAAATAACTAGCACAAGTGAAGTCGGAGTAATGAATTTACACTTCTGCAAAGATGAAAGCAGAAATTTTGTACTGGTGAGACACAATCAGATCTAGTCTATATGGCATATGCTAAAGCTGCAACTTGTAACAATTTGAATTTGTTGTATAATATAATTACTCCTCAGACATTTGAATCAAAAAGAAATGAATCTAAATATGTATTTTGCATTATGACATAAAGGCTTCAAAAACTCTTCCAACTTTATTATTCATCATTCACAGCCTATAATAAAACTATCTGCATGACCAGTGGATTCCAGTGCTCAAATATAGGTATAGAGTCCAATCTGTTTTACAGTATTCTTTGGCATAGGAAAAGAAAAATAAAACTTTTTTTATGTGACACAGAATTCTCTTGAGATACAGAATGTTGTATTGTTGGAAAGCAAATATACATAAAAAATAATCATTCTTGTGCATTTAAACTGAATTTCAATACAGAATTTATAGAGTTACCCTCTCAAGTTTGTGAACCCTCTAGGAGAGAAGTCTAAGAATAGAGACAAAGAATTAAATACTAGAGTCTCAAATGGTATAGCAGAAAACAGTGAAGAAACTAATAACTGTTGAAAAGTTACTTACTGAAAATTAAATCTATCTTGTAAATTACTTGATTATTATGCTACCTTTTAATTCAGCAGAATATCAACCAGCATGGAACAAAGAATTGTATTCCACTATAGATAATTTACTTCTATGACTGCCAAAACCAATTCAGCCATATAGCTGCTCTCCTAACTCTACCAGGGTTGATTCATAAGAATCAGAATGTTATCTTCATGATAGGCTCAAAAGAAAGAAAAATATAGCTGCAAAACCCATGTAATAGAGTGCATAACCTGTTTTTTTTCCTTCTATAAACACATACATACACACACAAACATAGACCTGCACCAAAAAAAAAAAAGGGATAATGAAAATAATAGTTTCATTATCCTCCTTGGAAAGAATAATACATTAATTAAATGAATCAAATAATGTAAAATTAAAAGCTCACCGGAGAGCTGTCACCTGCCTTCTGTAGCTGGGACAGGATACTTTCAAAACTGCCTATTAAATCATGTGACCCATCACTATCATAATCATAACAGTGCACCTGAAAGGAAAGAAACAGAGGGCAACAGACAAGGAGAATTAAGAATTACTGCTGCTCACCACTTGATCTCTCGCTTCCAATAGCTTTGAGGTGATGCATATGAATTCCCCTATTAAGTCTGAACTGGTGTTGTCATCCATATCACTAACTGTAACCTAATAGTAAGAAAGAAACCCCAAAATGAGTCCTCAAGGAAAACTATGTAATATAATATTTACCTGTTCAATATGCAACTGAAAGGCAATTCAGATGCAAAGCAGATTTTTAAAAATATTTATCACTGATCCAAGGATAAAATGATAACCCAATTACAGAAGACAAGCAATCAACTGAGAAATAGAAGCAGAATTAAGTTTTCTATGTGCCAGCGTAAAACAGTACTTCCTAGTCTGATGCCCTCCAGAGGTACTGATATTCACTTCTCAGAATACTGCTGGCAGAAAATTCTAGGAGTTGCAGTTTTAATAAATCTGGAGTATATCAGATTGGGGAAGGCTGGCACAGGCAACGTAAGGCCCAAGATGAGTTTAAAACAGCACTTAAATATAAGATACCCAACAGCAAGTAGGTGCATTAATTACAGGTAGTCCCTGGGTTAAGAATGCCCGGTTTATGGACAACCCATAGTTAAGAATGGAGCCTACTATAACAAAATTCAAGTTAAATATGTTTGAGTTAAATACACAATACTACTTATACAGTATTATACAATAATACTGTTTTGGCTTACATACAAATTCAACTTAAGGACAGAACTTGGGAACAGAACTCGTTCTTAAACTGGGGACTATCTGTATACAAAATATGTCAAGACTAAACCACATAGTTCTTGTCTTTTTATGAATTTTAAATGAATATTCCCTGAGAACATCCATTCATGCAGAAACTTTTTGGCTTACATACAAATTCAACTTAAGGACAGAACTTGGGAACAGAACTCGTTCTTAAACTGGGGACTATCTGTATACAAAATATGTCAAGACTAAACCACATAGTTCTTGTCTTTTTATGAATTTTAAATGAATATTCCCTGAGAACATCCATTCATGCAGAAACTGCAAGGCTCATACTAAAAAATCAAGCCAAATATGACCTGAATGCCCATGTTAAATTATAATAAATATTCAGCATAAAACATAAAAAGAAACTGGAAATTTCTTTTTCCAAATATAGATGTTGTTATGTATCAGGGCTTACAAGATTATTTGAGAAATGTTGTATTTTAAGGAAGAGGTGACTTTCGTCTTCTTGTTGTTCTTGCTTACCTGCAATATACTAAGAGTATAGGGCTATGTTTTATGTATAGTGTTTATGAGTATGCTCTAAATATTGTGTAACATGTTCATCCTAAATATATTTGTTTGGAATCAACTTTTAATGACTTGGATTATAATTTGTAGATGAAAATATCACAGACCAGAAGAGGCCTAGGAAACAAAAATTAAAAGCAAAACCCTTTAAGATAGTAACACTGACAGGAAAGACCAGAGACTTTTCACTAGATATAAAACTGCCAAGTTTTCTTTGCTACTACTTTAATAACAAAGCAAAGTGCAAAAATACAAGATATTTTGCCAACAATGAAAAAGAGATGCACCTCATTAATTATAGCTATAAATTAATCAGAACTGCATTTTAAATCACATTACTCACCAATAATTATCACTCATTATCATTTAGTCTCTTTGCTAGTCTTTATCCAGTGCCCAAAACATACAACTCTCCTGACACTAACTGTCTGCTCACTAATGATGCTACACTCCAAGCCTCTGGATAATTAAATTTTCCTTTGAATAAAGAGGAAGAAAGAATCTCTGGAGAACCTATAGAATAATAGTAGTGATTCTCAAATGTGGTCCATGGTCTATCAGTGATCTACAGACATCCAAGTGGTCCTCTACAGCTTCTCCATATTCTTGAGCCACACTTGTGGCCACAAGCTCACCTCCCCATACGTGCCAACAATCAGCTAGCCAGAATTTGCTTATCACTTCAATCCCTGTTTTCCTATATGCCCCATGCGAGAATAGCTGAAAATTGATTCATTAAAGCAGTCAAGTGATAATACAAGTAGCAACGTGACGACTGTACTAAAATTCAGAAAGCTGTCAGGTGAACTAATCTCAAATACAGCTCCTAACTATGGGTCTGCAAATGTTATGCTTAGTGGAACTGTAATCTCACGTGAACAACCCTAAAATAAGTATATGAATAGGAATGCCCAATAATGGGCATCTAAAAGTGGCATTTAATTAGGCTGGAGGTCCATTAACTTCTATCCTTTTTTTTTTTTTGACCCAACTTTTGAGTCAATGTTGACTGACTCAGAGTACTCAGATTCCTAGCAAAGAACATTCTTCACCAGCAAGTTGCTCCTGTTTTTAAGGCATGGAATAATAGATACAATAATTCAAGTCGTAACTAAACAATAATATTTTAAAAAATAAACAATAAATATTTTGGAATATAAAATTTTGTTTAAATGGGCCTTTAAAACAGGGGGAATGGGAAGGCATAAAAATGCAACCATATCTTATTCATCAGAAAATGTTAACTCCAATGCTCTTATAGATGGAAACAGGGCTGCTTGTTTAACTGGGTGGTCTTGCATTTTCCAGATGTTGTGCTAAATATCTCAAAATTGACTGAATAATTTAATAGACTTGTACTATTAACATCTGAAAACTGACTGTACAGCCTTAAGAGCAAATTTCCTGTTAATCTTTAAAGGAAGCTAATCTACTAATAGTTGGAGACAGATCATCCTGGAGATTTTTATCATCCTACTAACCCTAAGAGTTGACACCAACTTGATGGCATTTATTCAATCAATCTACTAATACTATTAACAGCAGCAGCATTACTTAATTTGGATTGTGGTAGGATATAAAAGTCAAAAATAAATAAATAGTTTTGTGTTCCATAGCTAGCATAAAACTCAGAATAAAAGGCCCCTGTCATCCATTTATGAAGCAACCATCTAAGAACAAATGATATGGAACATTTGAAATTAACAACACTGAGAAGATTCTTAATGACAACTACTTTTCCTTGTGTGATGTCTTCTCTCAAGTAGCCTTAACTAAATAAGAGAAACTGCATACCTCTAAGTTTTTTCAATAGGAGGATAAACAAAGAGCATGCTGTTGCAAGGAGGAAGTGCTATAGAAAAAAAGAGATTTGGTTCAGGGTCAATACCCATTCAAGAGGAAGAAGGAACTCAATTGTATTTTTTTAGTATGAGTTTATTTTAGCACAGATACCTATGTATTTCTAATCCATCAATTTCTTATTTAATCTAATCTTCTCATGCCTACCTCTTTTGAATTTTTTCACATTTTTGAGACTTTTCTCCAAACAGAGGAAGGAATCATTATAGTTTAATTATTTCAACTTACTCTTAAGATGTGTTATTTATAAACCAGCATTATGATTCATAATGTTGTATTAATATCTTTCAGTGTCAATCTTAAAAAGATTTCTTATACATAAAACATCAGTTTCCATCCTGTAGCTTTTTTACATTCAACACTGGGTTGTGAAAGTTGAATGGCAGTATTTAAAATCTAAGTTAAAATGAAACAAGTTGAAATGTTACTTTTATGACTAATGGCTAACCTATTAGGTGACTTTTTTAATGAACATTAGCAAAATAAATGTATTAGGTTCATGAGCTACTCTGAAATATAATTTTAAAAAGTGATTAATTATGAAAAGTTTTGCAATCATTGTATTCTAGAATGCTTTCACATGAGCATACTGGTTTTATAAATTAGACTACAAAATCTTATGGCCAAAACCTCCAAATAGGTATTTCTGGTACATTCAGGTCATGTTTTCAAATGTTACCACAATCAACAATATGTCAAACTTACTTTGCAAAATGCAAGCTCATATTTTATGTCTTCATAATCTTGCTCTTCAAGAAAAATACATTTCTTAAGTGTGTAGAATCAAATATTAAATAACAATAACATAATTTTAAAATATACAGGTAATCCTTCTTTAGCAACTGCCTTGGACAGCAACTGTTTGCAGTACAACAGTGATGAAAGGGTAACTTTGCTACCAATGCCCACATTTACAACCATCGTAGAGTCTCTCTCTCAGTCGTGTTTGCCATTACAGTCAGTTAGTACGCGTTGTCCTGTGTCTGATCCTTTTTTTTTCTTTTTCTCCTCTTTGCAGAGTGGAGAGATTGCCTAAACAAGCTCTCACTTCCTGAGCTGCATGTGCTAACTTATTAGCTGCTTATTAAGTTAATAAGCTCAGCTCTGTGATCTTAATTAATTGATTAGAACCCTCCCACTGCTGCCTGATACTGACAAGACCCTAATCAGTTTCACACTAAAGGCTTTTGTTTGCCTCCTAAGCAGCTCCTGGCTAGCCACAAGCACACTAGGCAAACAGTGGACACTAAAACATTCCTTTTGACATGTATTCCCCATTGTGCGTCTGCTTATTCTCTTGTAATCCTTTCCTCTCCAAAGAAGGTAAATACAAACATTAATTCCCTTCTTGCTAATTATTCCAGCGCTGAGTGAGCATTTCAAAGGATGGGGGAGCAGGAAAAAAGGGCTATAGAATTTGCCCTTTTACCCGGCTTCCTTGTGAGTTGAGTTCCAGAAACCTTCTCTACCATTTGGCCTCATCTGGCTGTTTGGGGTCATATCCTTCTGATGCTGTAAATCAAAGTAAAGCTGAAGTAAAATCGTAAGCACAGTTGCGGTCGTGTGATTTTCACTTAGCAACCACTTTGCTTAACGACCGAGTTGCCAAAACCAATTGCAGTTGCTAAATGAGGACTACCTGCAATTTTCCTGTTCACAATAGATCTGTTAAAGATGCTACAAATTATACTGAAAGATGTTTTAAAGCAATCAAAAGTGGGGGTGAGGGAGGGGGAATTGTGTTAACTAAGTTAAGTGAAGGGGAACTACCAGTACATTTCAGAGAAATAAACAGATGTGAGTGGAGAAAGAAGCACACAGAGTTTGATTTACAAATGATAAGAAGCCAATTATAAACATATAACTGGCTTATTATCATTTGTAAATAATACATAAATAGGTTTTAATTCTAATTCATCTAAAAATCAGGCATCATATCAGAACAGAAAATGAGTTGAATGAGATGAGTTTATAAGTTGTCTTAAATTAATAATTGTTCTCACCTTGATTTGTCTGTTGAAGTCACCACTACAAAATGTTTGCAAAGGAACACTGAACTTTCTCCAGCAAGGGTTTAAATTGTTCTTAATTACCTAAAATATTTTTTAAAAGATAATCACAATCAATGTATATTATGAAAGCAGAGTTTCCGAAGACTTTTTTTGGTCATGGTCACATTTGTCCAAGATAACCACAATGTTATCTTATGGTCTTGCATTTTTTTCTTAAATAACAATTGTATATGTTGTAAGTCAGCATTCCTTAAATTAATGAATTTATTTCATTTTCACATTCATACCTAAATAAATTTTCAATACGCACTTCAATTAATATTTCAGTACCACCATGGATGAAAGTTTTAACTGGGGAGCTCCCGGTGAGGATTAATGACAGTCTAATCGTCTCCAGAGGAGTGGAGACGGCACTGAAGTGGAGATGAGTGCCGAGAAGGCTAACACTGAACATTGTAATCTCTCTGAATAAAGGAGGCATCATGAAATAACCCACTTGTTCTCCAGACAGCCCCTCCCCACAGGTAAGCTGCAGATAGATGTTTTTGTGGCTCACTTGCAAGTTGAGCAGCTGGGAGACCTGGGATTCCATCTACATTCACAGCTGTGGTATAGCCTTTAAGGATAACAAGACCAGCCGAAACTCATTTCTTAGCCACATTTAGAATTAATTATTCTACAGACTGAGAGACATTTTCTTTTACAGCAGATAAGAATTCCTCTTGATGAGCCTCATTTTTGGGGGGACTACAAAATTAAAAGAAGATATAAAAAATAAAGAATATTTGGCAAAAAGCTCAACAAGGGATGATTTAAGAAAGCTTAAAACAAAACCTACCAAGGATCACAGAGAAACAAAAACAAATTATGAATGGACCTATAACAATAAGAGAAGTTTCCAAAGCTATAAAAAAGTTTAAATTAGGAAACGCACCTGGACCAGATGGACTATCGGGCTTTTACTATAAATGCTTTGAGAATGAACTTTAACAACCTTTACAAATACTATTTGAATTCTATTTTACAGGGAGGAAAGATGCCAGAGGCTTGGAAAAAGGCTAATATAGCACTAGTGCCTAAAGAGGGACAGGATTTGACTTTAATAAGAAGTTATAGACCAATATTGTTATTGAATAATGATTATAAGTTGTTCACAATGATTTTAGCTGATAGACTGAAAATAATTTTGCAAGAATTTATTCATGAAGACCAATGTGGATTTTTACCTAAAAGACAGTTAAAGGATAATATACTGTATTGGATATTTTAGAATATTTGGAACAATGTAATGAAAAACAAGCTGCACAGATCTTTCTGTATCTAGAGAAGGCTTTTGACAATTTGAATTGGACTTTCTTATTTAAAGTTTTGGAGGATATGAATTTTGGAGAGAATTTTATAAAATGGGTAAAGCTGATTTATACTTCACAGAAAGCACAAATTATTGTCAATGGTGATCTAACAAAACCATGCGAGATACAAAAAGGAACAAGGCAGGGTTGCCCACTGTCCCCTCTTTTGTTTATTCTGGTTCTTGAAATATTGAATATAGACATAAGACGAGAGGATTGCAGGAGTAAAAATTTAAAAAAGAGACAAGTACCTTTGCAGATGACTTGGTGCTGGTTTTGGAAGATCCTTTAAAGGGGGATATATCTAAATTTGTGTGGCAGGGGAAAAAATCATGAGTTAAATATAAGGTGTTGCAAGATGTAAAAGAAAGAGGTGGTTTGGGTTTACCTCATTTGAAATTATACTTTGCAGCTTGTTGTTTGGTTTAGATGAAAGAATGGATGTTGCTGAGGAACAGAAGACTTTTGGAGTTAGAAGGATATGGCCTGAGATTTGGGTGGCATGGATACTTATGGTACGAAAAAGCTAAGGTTAATGTAGATTTAAAAAATCATTTTGCTGGATGTGCCATATTAAGAATATGGAATAGATACAAACCCAGGTTGTGCCCAAAAATACCTTTATGGCTATCAGTACAAGAAGCATATTACAGAAGAGAAATGATAAGTAAACGCAAATGGCTAACTTACGATGAAATATTAGAATTTTGTCAAGGGGAATGTAAAATAAAGTCAAGAGGAGATTTGGTGGCAGAAGGATACATTTGTCAATGGTTTATTTATGTATAATTATCAGAAAGATTTAAGGTAGATAAAAGACGGCTTGGTTTTGAGTAATGTAAGACTGAGTTTGAAACAGAATTGCGTAGAAATGATGAAAATGTTATTGCTAAAATGTATAAACCTTTGCTGAAATTTGAAACAGAAGAAAAAGTGAAAGAATATATGATAAAGTGGGCTACAATTTTTGGTTATAATATTCAGATAGAACAATGGGAGAATATGTGGTTGAAAGGACTGAAAATTACACTATGTTACAATCTTAAAAGAGAATTTTTATAAAATTATGTTTCATTGGAAACTGTTTAGAATGTATAAAGGTACATTGAATTTATGTTGGAAACGTGAACAAGAAGAAGGGACTTTTTACCATGCTTGGTAGATGTATGAAAAATCCAGAAAGTTTTGGATTCAAATACATACACTAATTCAGAAGATTTTAAAGATTAATATACAACTGAAACCAGAAGTTTTTCTTTTGGAACTGACTGATAAACAGCTGGAAAAAAGTCATGGAACTTTATTTTTATACATGATAACTGCAGCGAGATTATTATATGCACAAAGGTGGAAAGATTCGGTATTACCCACAATGGAGGAATGGATGGTGAAGATGATGGAACTTGCAGAGATGGCCAAATTGACATCATTGATCAGAATAAAGACATTATCTAAGTTTATAGTTGACTGGAAACCTCATACAGTATAGACGTTTTGCATGATGAACTTATGACTTACGGTTTTTATGATTAAAAAAATAGATTATAGAAAAAAATGAAAATCATGATGCAACCATAGAATAAGAAGTAAATTTACATTTATACTTATAATTGCTGTAAAGAAAATTGGAAGCTACTTGTTTACAGTCAGGTCCAGAAATATTGGGACATCGACACAATTCTAACATCTTTGGCTCTATACACCACCACAATGGATTTGGAATGAAACAAACACAATGTGTGTTAACTGCAGTCTGTCAATCACCTGACCTGAATCCCATTGAGCATGGTCAATCACCTGACCTGAATCCCATTGAGCATGGTCAATCACCTGACCTGAATCCCATTGAGCATGGTCAATCACCTGACCTGAATCCCATTGAGCATGGTCAATCACCTGACCTGAATCCCATTGAGCATGGTCAATCACCTGACCTGAATCCCATTGAGCATGGTCAATCACCTGACCTGAATCCCATTGAGCATGGTCAATCACCTGACCTGAATCCCATTGAGCATGGTCAATCACCTGACCTGAATCCCATTGAGCATGGTCAATCACCTGACCTGAATCCCATTGAGCATGGTCAATCACCTGACCTGAATCCCATTGAGCATGATGTACATACCGTCAAATTAAAGCTGACAGTCTGCAGTTAAATCACATTTGGTTTGTTTCATTCCAAATCCATTGTGGTGGTGTATAGAGCCAAAGATGTTAGAATTGTGTCGATGTCCCAATATTTCTGGACCTGACTGTATATTTTCCTTTTTTTCTTTTTGCACTTTTGGCTTTGTTCTCTTTCTTTCTTTTCTTTATTCTATATATTAGTTTGTGTTAGTTTTTATCTTTCTTTATAAAAAAATTAATAGTTATATGAAAAAATGGAGGAAAAGTTTTAGCTGGCTAGAACTACAAGACTGGTCTGTGAAGCCCTCTATCAAACATCCCAACTGACTTGTTTATTGCTACCCAATGATTAAAAATCTGGGTCTGAAAAATTAGAATCAGAAATCTACTTTGCCTCTGAAAAGCTGCTCCTGATGTCCAGTGTAGAATGAAGTGAGATGGCTATGAGAGGCATTTCCCAAATCAATGAAAACATCTTCCTATGAGTTAGGAACTCTATTTGCACAAAGTGCTTATGTCTGACCTCTGCAAATAACAGATCAGTTTCACTGCTCAACTGATACTTAAAGGGGTGATCTAATGCTTTGGAAATAGCCTTGCCTGTCCAGGGTCAATCCAAACCTTACCTGGAGTCTACATTATAGACACCTAATACTTTTTTTTCTTTTAAAACTGTAGAGATTGCTTGCCTAGAATACTTTTGCATTATTTCTAAAGCTTCTTTGCATTTACAATTTGACTGAAGCCTATCCCTGCCCTTCCCATAGTCAAGTACTCCTGCTGGTTCTTGCATTGTCCAATCATTGGCCAAGAATCCCTGTGCCCATGATTTCACCTTACACCAAAGAGTGCAAGTAAGACAACCAAAGATGGTAGAAATCACTCTGATCTGAGAACAGGCCCCAATATCACTGAATGTGATACTCACCCTTCCTCCCCAGCAAGACATTTTACATAAATATGTGCCACAAGGACTTTTACTCTCCCTTCTCCTTTTTGTTGTCACAACTCCATCATTTGCAAGACACTGGAGCTTCAGAATAATAAAACAAGGCTGAAGCTCTGCAGAAACTTTTGAAGGAAGACATGGCAGGTTAAAAAAATCCATCCTACCTCAGGAGAAAAAAACCCTGTCCAAACCAGCCCTATTTGCACAATTTGAAACACTACCCAACTTCACACATAGACACGTAACTCCCCATTAATATATAACAGCTCTTGATGAACAAAGGTGGAATTGCTGGAAACCTTACCTCTGATCGGTACACAAGCTGCCATTTTCCACTATCACTCTGTTTATAGAATTCCAAAAATGGATCCGATTTGCCTAAAAAGTCCTGTATTGGGAAAATACTTTTATATATAGACATAAAAACAATAAAACATTTTATATAAAGCAATCCACTCTTCCAGTTACTTCTATTAAATACAAAACTTACGGTAAAACATAAAAAGATCTTTCATGAATTCAATGAAATGCTCCTAATTTCTGACTTGTAATTTTCTTTCACAGATTTCAGTACTTTTTTCATTTAACAGCCTAAAAATATTATATGGCCATACCTTGGGAATATGTTTAGTGCATTTTGCACTAAAATCCAAGTTAACAAGAGTTGCAATTATTATTTTCTAGTAAACCTACAGTCTGAAGTTTCCATCTATATTTACCTAAGATATTCATCAGTTGATACTGATGAAATTTCCTATTAACAGTTTCATTCAACTGTCAACTCTATCTTTGACTTTGAATGCAGAAGCTCATGTTTGTAACATCTAGCCTAATTTTTTTGCCCTTATTTTTACTTTTCTCTGCCTCTGGACTTTTGTTTGACTTCTTGTTTGAAAGAGGAAACCTTAAAGATATGCATACTCCTTTGTACTATCTTGGTTGATCCTACTTAAAATATTACCTGACTGTAGATTTTGAAATTTGGAATAGATTTTGGAATTGGAACATAGTTATGATAGCTTTTTATACTGTTTAGGAATTCATTCTTTTCAAGGAAACATTAAGAAAATTAGGCCTATCTTATGTTTTGGTAGATTCAATGTACAATTATTTCTTCCTTCATCTTTGTCTTCTTCCACATCTTAATTATTTCAATCTTTATCTATCCAAGAGACATTCAAGCTGCGCTCAGTTAGAAAAACTGGGTACCCATCTACTTATCTCTTGAGATTCAAGAGGTCATCTGTGAATTCATATATGTGTGATCTGTGCCTACACAGAACCATATTCAAGATCTTCGGATTTCTGGGAGGGGTTCTGTTTCTCCAATATTAACAGGGAGAGGGAGAGATGAGCCTCCTGTCTTCCCTCAGTTCCAATGGCTGCCAGTGAGGCTTCAAGGGGAATTTTCAAAGGGCGGCTTATGTGATGGGACTAGAAGTTACTAACAGCATCACTACTCTCCCAAAGGTTAAGTCTATAATGCCTCACAAACGTAAAAGCTGAGCCTATGTAACTGTTCTGCACAATTAAAAAATTGACATATTCCCAAGGAATGCAGAGGAGGCTGAGACTACTCTGGTAAAATGTCCTCTGATGAGAATAAGGCATCATTGTTTAGCTAGTTCATAAGCCAGACAGTCTGCACTATTCTTTTTTGAGAAACTGTAAAATGATAAGACTCATAAAGCTGAATGCAAAAATGTGGCCACCATCTAAGATAGAATATACAGTGGTGCTTTAAAATTGCGCACCCTTTTGAATGTTCAATATTTCTGTACAAACATGATCTGTTCTCCACACAAGTCCTAAAACTAGATGAAGAAAACTGTAAAGAGAAGCCAATTAAGCAACACTGTATGTGTTTTGCCTTCTAAATGTATTGTGAAGTATAAAAAAGAAAGAGAAGGAAAGTGAAGGAAGTCACCTAAATGACACTGAGTTGAACCCTGAGTTGAAGCTACAATCCAGGATAATGGGGGGGGGGAGGAATCCCAGATAGGTGGTTTTCCTAGTGAAAAAGAAACATAATTCTAAATTATGCTAGGCCTATTCCACTCTTGCTGTAATACTTAGCACAGTTCATCCTGGACATTCCATAGGTATTGATGCATCCAATGTTGATTGTTCTTGATGCAGGTGCAGTGAAAGGAATCTTGGCAGAGTTACATGCCACTGTCCCTCAAAAGACAGAATCTTTCTTTGCAGTGTGACTGATGTAACCATGGATTTAAAAGTACTGTCATATATTAAGTTGCTGTTTCATCATGCAAGCAGTCTCTGCAAAAAGTACTTGGGATAGCTACCGCTTGTTAACTGGAAGTCTACAGAAGAAGGAAGCTCCCTCATGCTAGAGGTACTATGGCACTAGATGCATAACACTTGTACCCACTGAATCCAGTTTCCACCTTGCCTTATTTACTCAGGGAAGAAAAGCTGAGCTGGAAGTTGCCAAGGACTCCTGGGAGTGACTTTTGCCCATGCTGCTGACTTGCAACGTAACAATGTCCTGTACCAGATAAAGGGAAGGAAACTTTTCCTTTATCCAGTACAGGATATTGATATGTGGCCAGCCAGCAGCATGGAAGGAGGACTGATTTATTCCAGTGCTAACAGCATTGGAATAATAAACGGTAGAAGTAGTATTGCATATAACCTCAAACACTAGGTCTAGGCCTGTTGCCTCACTTCCATGTCCAAAAAATGAGACATATGGATTGCCTCCTCTAAAGAAAAGCAGAAGAGCTGTGATGGGGAAATAGGGCCCTTGTCTCCAACTTCACCACTGGTGAGTCAATGTAGACTACCTCAGTTCTGAGATGAGGGATTCTGACTCATAGTCATCTTCACCAATAAGTTCTGGAGGTCCATTCTTGAATAGAAGTGAAGACTCAGATGGACGATCAGAAGGTGATTTCAAAGGGGCAGACCAATGTTTGAAACCAGAAGAGGCCTGTGAGCATATGCAGCAGCAGCTTGGCACCTATAAGCTATTGCATCAGATGATCAAGGTGAGCACAGATGACTTTTGCAGATTGCGGATACATCTTATCTGGCAGCCAAGAGGCAAAAGCTAAACACTTAGAGTTATATTCCTAGGGCTGGACCCAGTCCCTAATATGCATTTCTGGTATCAGTAGCTGATGATCTGAATACAGAAGGTACTTAAGTTCTATATATAGTTTATATAGTTTATTTTATTCCAGGTATGAGTGATACCTGAAGCATCCATTTGAGAGAAATCTAGTTCCACAAGAAGTACAAAGAGAGTAATGTGAGAAAACAGTTGGCATATGAGCCTTTTGAGTGAATTAATCCTGAAGACAAAGGATGGAGCTGAGAAGATAGAGAATTCAAGGGAGACTTGCTCTGCAGCTTGAATTTTACCCTAAGAAACAGAGTTGCTCTTTGATTATTTGATGAAAATAAATGTAAGAAACTAGAAAGGAAAGTATACCAGTTATATAGGAATGTCATATGTTGAAATCATTAGTACTGAGGAAGGAAACTGCAGCTGTGGAGCTGAAAGTACTGGTGGTACAGACAGTGATATCAAGGTTGAAGACGATCTTCATGCCTTGGAGTTTTAGGGATCTGAGTGTTAGAAACATGCTGAAATCAAGTCAGGGTTTATCCAACGGCATCAAGCACCTGGGGAGCAGAGAATTAAATATCTCTTTACAGGACAACTTCTTTCAGGGATCTGGAACACAGCCAAAAGGGTGTGATCTGTTTTGTAAAATCTAAACAGAAGAGCACATCTCAACAATATGGCTGTCGCCCAAGAAGAAGTCCAAGTCTGTCAGACGGTGCAAGTTTTCAAACCATGGCCTTTCACATCATATGCAAACCAGGCCAAGGAGCTGCAATTGCATCAAAATACAAAGGAACACAAAGGAAAATAAAAATGGAGAGAGAGAGAGAGTGCGCGAGAGAGAGAGAGAGCGTGAGAGAAAGAAAAGAGAGAGAGAGAAGAGAGAGAGAGAGAAGAGAGAAAGATGGAATAAAGCAGGCAAACTTAATACTACCTCTAAAATATTCTAACAGTGCTCACTCTGGAAAATGAAAAAGGACTAAGGGAAGGGACCAGCCATGCTCATACATATGGTTTGTACTAGAGAGGCCAAAAATTTCATGACAGTGAAAAACATTATACATTCAAATTTAAGGTTAATCTCTGCACTGTGGAATTATGTTGATATACTAAACATGACCACCTGAAAATTTGAAGTTAGTATTTTTCTAATAAAGAGATGTAAGAGACTATAACAAAATTGGATTTTCTAGGTATATAAATAATATTCTTTTCTATACACATATTAATTTTTGAAATATGTCATTATCTGCCAGTGCTTAGCAAAGTAGTTGAATCGATCTTGTCTGGAAACACTGATAGATTAAAAGTGTAATGTTATGTGCATAGCCTTCAGTTCCTTTTATTCCCATCTTCTACTTAGGCCTGACCCAAATTTATAATTATGTCCAAGCCCCAAACTGTGATTAAAGAAAACAAAAAAAGCTGGGATACCATTATTTGAAATTCACTTGCTTTTCTTCCCCAATTATTAACCAGTTGCCCAGATTCACTGCCCTGTTTGCAGAGTTATAATAATAGCTAATACCAGTCAGTTCAAGTGTTAACAGAAACCAGAGTTCTGACATCTTCCCCACAGCTGTGCTGAAGAGCAGAATCTCTGAACCTATCTTGAGTACAATTTTTCAGATTATTTATTATTAAAGATGCATTTTACTGAAGACAAGAGCTTTCAGAATCTCATTTCCCACAGGTAGCTTTGTACTCAAAGCTGAATTTACAAAATGCCTGTTCAGTCTTAAAGCGAAACACTTCTTAAGTAAATTACCCTTCCCTTCTGCTAATATGAAGGAGAACAAGCATATCATCCAATATTCTTTTGGGCTGAGAGAGAGTCACCCAGTGGTGTTCATGCCTAAGGGAAGCCTAGAACCCATAATCTCCTGGTTTCTAGGCCAGCACCGTAACCGCTACACCACACTGGCTCTCTACAACTGTTCTAAAGAATTAGAATATGACTGAACTACTAGAATAATTTTTTTACACTTATTTTACCTTTTTGTCTAAATTCCGAGCTTCAACATCAATAGAAACAACTCTGGTATCTTTAATCTCTTCTGCACAAATCTGCAGGTTGAAGGAAATTTTGTTTTAGTAGTCTTGGGAAACACCCTATTATTGCAGAATATTTGTTTGAAAGTTAGTTTGGAAACAAAAGTTATAAACAAAACAATGGATACATCACAAATAGCTTAACTGAAGGAAAAAATGTTTAAGATACATTCCGCTCTAGAACAAACAGGTGTGTAATTTAACCCATATATTCACAAGAAATTATAACTGAGCTTTTCTTTTACCGTAATAATGCCTTTTCCTGCAGGCTTTCCTTTCTTCAACATTAAAGACTGAACAAGTATTTTACTTGATACAATCTAAAATATAAATTGCATACATTACTCAAATTATACAAGAAAAATTTGTCTTATAATTATTTATACTGTAAAAATCTGGGCTTCATTAATCCTTCCCAATAAAAGATTACATTGTATGCTAATTTTATAAGAAAATGCTGCTTGGGGAGCAGGGCAGGACAATTTATAATAAGCAGGGATTCTCAAACTATGGGTTTAGATGTCCAGGAGGTCTGAATAACTTAGAGGGGCGGTCCCAATTTTTATTTAAAATACTTATTTAGGCTTGTGCAGTCAACATGGGAAAACTGTCAAAGTTTATTCTAGACTTAGCTCCTTATTTTAACTGTGCAAGCCAGAAGTAGATAACTGTGGTCCTGCAAAATCTGAGGACCTGTGTGATATATGTTTAAATCTAATTATTAAAAGTAAGCGGTATATTTATTTGTTACCCAATTCCAATTAAATAATTTGATTTATTCATGGGAGAGACACACAAGTTCATTTAGCATTTTAGGGATTTGTGGTAGGAAATTTTGAGAATTGTTTGAGATCAAACAATTTTTACTTATAAAATTGCTATTACTTATAAATTATCAAAGTGAAAAAGAGAAATAATTGGCTATACAATTGTTTAAGGATTCTGCCAGATACTATCCAACAAAAAGACCCAGGAAGTCTAATATCCTCTTTCTGTTCAACCAGAATAAAAAACAGAAGGAAGAGAATAATTATTTATATATTTTCTTAACTTAAAGCTTCTGTAAATTAGTATCTCCTTTTATTTATGCACTACCAACAAAAAATAAATCTAAACTGTTACTTAATATTTTATATAGTAGTGGTCATAGTTGTTTACAGTACCTGACCCAGGGTACATTCAGCTCCTCCAAGGTAATCATCATCACTTAAGTCATATGACTTATTATCAATATCATATATACCAAATTTCAGCTTCTGAACTTTCTCAAAATAGTAGTCAATTAGCAGCTTTTTTGAAAATTGAGGATTCTGGCAATTCTTTATTTTTTCAGTTCGATCCAACTATGACAAGAAAAAAGAAAAAGCATTGCTTAACACTTACACAATCCAGTGTGAACAAAACAGATTCCTATATAACATTCCCCTGTGGCTCCATTTGACTTGATCAGTAGTGTGAGGTAAGTTGACATCCAAGGAAGCTTGTCTGCTTTTCTGATATTTTTGCTCAGAAGCAAAAATGTTCCAGAAAATCATGATGCCCTTTTTCTATACATACTTAAAAAGCATGCCTCACTCACAATAATGAATATTCTATAGTTTTCTACAACACCCATCTCCAAGCTTTCAATCTTTCCATTTCCATTTTAGCAGAAAACCAGATTTTATATAATCAAATTAACATAAATTATGTGTAACTATATTGGTCCATTATAAAAACCTATGCTATAGAACAGAAATATTTTGAATAGGACCAACTTGTGAGTGAACAAGATGTTGTGTTTACATAATTCTATTTCAAGCAGGATATTAAATAAACCAGCATCTTTGTATGTGTATGAATGTTAAAAAAGGAAAAAGAAGAAAAAGAAAAAACATAGTCTTTGAGACATCATGTCCAGTATTTTTCTACATAATGCTGGAAAAAGTTGGAAGGAAAGCAAAGAAGAGTTCAACCAGCAGCAAGGTGAATGGACTGTATTACAACTGTGATGGGTGCAGAGTTAGGTTTGGGAAGACCTAAAGAGCCAGGTTGGGGTCAGATCATCCTGGAGAAGGTTTATCTATGTAGTTGCTAAAAAAGTTCTTGCAACATGCTATATCCAAATGCAGCTTCAAAGAATCAAAGGGAATAAATTAAATGCAATAACGATACGTTCAATGTTACAAAGAAAATGTATATTATATGCAGATAAAACCACTATGTATGGAATCCAAAGAACATAGTAAGAGATTTCCTTTCTCATTACAGTCCATTTCCTTCTCCCAACTCAAACTATTCTTTAACAAGAAGCAAAATCATTTAATAAATGTTAATTGAAACAGTGCTAAATAAAAATATGTACTAATAAAACTCATTTTGCGATCATTTAATCATGTTTGTGGTTGTTTAGGGGAACTGAAAGTCAGTGGATTTACCACCAAACTTGCCAAAAATAATTCCTTAGAATTGTTTCCACTGAAGTTAATATCTAAACATATTTAGAACCAATTTATATCAGTAGGCTTTACCTATATCTGGGAACTTTACTACCCCTAAAATTCCTTACTTCAGTCCACTGATCGCCACCAACATTTTGAAGCAAGACACACAGAGGATCAGATTTTGAGCCAACATCTTTGTCAATCAGGTTGTCACAGGATATGGACAGTTCCACCTTGGTCACACAGTGAGCCATCTACAAACAGATTGAAAACGAAATAATGAATAGTTATTAAATGATATATTCAATATATTATGCATATAGAATCTGGATTGATTTATATATCAACGTATTTGTTGATAATGTTCTTCATTAGTTTTGTATTGGTTTCTTATTGTTGCTACTCTTCTAGCATTTAAATGAACCATAGAGTGGAATACAAATTTTAACAATGCTTGAGAATTCGGTTGAATACCACTCCATATGTACAGCCAAGTCTTCTTCATCAAAACATATCTATACTAGTATGAAAATAACCATGCAGCCATCATACTTAGCAAGATAAACATGTATTTAAACAGGCAAAATATACCAAATACCAAATGTAACTATCTGCATATTGCTTTCATACTAATCCCTTCACAACAACTCTTTTACAAACAAAACAGTAGATACCACTTAAGTTTTTATAAACAGATAAAAGTTCAGATAACATTACTCATAAGTTTTTCTTCCTAATGTAAATATGATTAAAAAGTGAAAGAGAACTAAATGATTGGGACTACTTTAGCAGTCCCATATAACACCAAGAGAAGAAAACAAAAATTGCACTGTTGCAGATTGCGAAATACATGCTCATATCAATAATGAGCGGAATGCTAATCTATTCAGTTTCTGCTATAACAGTTTTGCCACGCCACTCCTAGATTCTCAAAATATTGATACCAGATCAGTTTCAGGCACATCAGACTGGGTATACCAATACAAAGCAGACCACATCCTGAATACACAGACACATAAAATATAAATGCAACTACGCTTTGTCTACATTCAGCCCTGAATCTGAACAGCCACAGAAAGAATATGAAATAGTTTTTGCATACTTAAACAATACATAGGAATTTCAGTTTATTCAAGTATTAATATATACAGCTAGATTTTTTTTCAGTCCGAGAGAGACAGACAATAATACATTCTCCAAATAAAACTGTATAACACATATCACATGAAGAATCTGTTAGTGATATTTCAACAGTTATTTACAATAACCTTATATTGATGAATAACTGAAATATTTTATCCCCTTCTTTGAAAAGACACATTTAATTTTAAAAATCCTTTCATTGGAGAATTAGACCCCAATATCTAATTCAATATTAGACAACAGCAAAAACCAAAGAATTTGGAAAATATCTAACTTGATATCTGAAAGCTATTGCAAATGTCCAATTCTTCTCTAATATAAGAAAAAGTTTAAGCCAAAGAATATTAGCTTCAAGTACTTAAACACCAAATGACACTTACATGCATACAATGGGAGACGTGAACAGTCAACTGCTTTATGTAATCTCCAAAGCACAGTGTGAATGGTAAGCTTGAATATCAACCAGCTTATATAAGAGAGCCTGCAGTAACATGCTGATAATACTGTAAAATGTGCTATTGTCAGTACTAACATGCTGACAATACTTTGTACTAAAATAAGAAAAAGAAATATTCTCTTAAGGGTTGCCAGTTCATAATGCAGCAGAAACCAGAGCAAACAAGAGACACCCTGTCAGATCTAGAAATTTAAAATCTAGCAGTTTTAGATTTAGTTTTATAAATTAAAAGCTCCTTCTTTTAATTTATAATTTCCAACTAGTTCCATAAGTTTACTTTTTCTTGCCAGTTGAGCAATTTCTTGCTCTACCACTTTGCTCCATTATATTTATTTTTTTCTTCCATTTCATTAGGTGCCAGTTTACTAATCCACTGCCAACTTTGTATCATGATTTTTGGCTATTCTGTCCTCCTTAACATACTTTTCAATTTTTCCTTTTCTCCCAATTCTCTGTCTTTTCTTAAAATGCTTTCTAATAATTCTCTTTGACTTCTGCTTTCAGTTCATTGCCTATCCCTGTCTTACCTTCAGTCAACTTTCCTGTGGGACTACTGATTATAAGCAGTTGATGCAACAGGCACTTTTGTCACACCCAAGGCTACCACTGTTAGAGGTACTTGCTGCTTACATAAGCAGAACCACTGACCATAAGAAGACAGTATGACTTTTTACTTAGGACATAGGGACAGTTAATATGTTACTGTGTGGGAAAGTTCAGTCTGCCTCTTTCCATGGTTTTTGAGTCACATCATTATCAATTCATTTTTGGATGTTATTCACTAAAGGCACTAATGCAATGGATCCCACTCCTTCTGTTGGCTAAAGCCTTCTCAATTGCCCAGTCAACAGAAAATAGTATGATGGGGACCAAAAAAAAAAAAATGCAATGTGCAGAACACTCCAAATGCCAAGTGGAAGAACAGTAGAGGGCATCATGCTGTGCTCTCAGAGACCACTAACTGCTGCCCTTAAAGTAGAGTAGCATATATTAAAGCTACGGGATAGCAATGCCACATCAACCCATTCTGGGTGCACAGCAAGGGCACATTGTATGGACAAGATTCAGAGCAGCATACTCTTCTTCAAACTCCAGCGAGGGATGGAGGTACAGCTGCTGGGTAGATTTGCCCCTAGTCTTACTATCCTAGCATGCCCATATAAGATACTACTACTCTCATAATCTATGAGGTTTTAACTGTAACCAGGCTAGTATTCCTCCAAAGAAACTCAACTGTCAGCATTTCTTGCTGCAGGCTTTGTTCCCTGAGCAGCTATAATGTCCATGAACATTCTATGCCGAATCAGTTCCTCATCAAAAGCTTTGCTGCCACAAGCATAATATAATTCAGATCTGACCAGATAAACAATAATTTGTGACAACTATCAGATATGCAAATATGGAAAAACGAGATTGAAACTGGACAGTAGGAATCAGTACAGTATACACATCTTCTATACCTAAAACAAGTAGCGCTTTTATTTACTGAGTAACAAACTTCTAACATTCTTTTACAGACTGGTGTGCATTCCTAATTCTCTCCATTCACACTGTGAAACCAATAACAGCATATATTCACATTCACAACAAAGTGTGTATTGCAGTATTACCCTACAGTAGTGTGGTGACATCACCAAGTCCATGATTATCGCTTCTTGCAACAGATTAGCTACATACTGAGAATGGAGGAGGCCGTAACATTGACAGGGATGACACTTGGAAATGAAAAAAACAGAAAGCAAAGGCCAGGCAAGGTGCTAAAAATGAGAGAAGCAGGGAATAGCATGGAGGAGGCATTGAGGAAACAGAAAACACAATAATTAGAGCTGGCTTTTCATTTGAAAGGATCCTTTCATTTGTCTCCCACCCCCACTCGGCTTATATCAGTGGGTTTACCTGAAACTGCGGTGCTATTGAGCAGTATCAATGTCAGGTGGCTTGACATCAGTATTTAATTTACAGTACCATCTGTCCAAAAGCTACTTCAAGAGAATCCAGGAAATGAAGATATTTATACTAAATCATCTGGTAGTTTTAGTGACCATCCGCAAGTGCCCAAAGCTACAAACAACAATGCAAGGACTGCAAAATGTGTATACATTTGCCTCTTACTATGTATACACCTATCTGGGCTACGAAAAAACCAGATATTAGATGGAACCCTGTTACAAAATCATGACCTGTTGAAAAGGTGAAGACTCACTCAAGCAAAGCATGGCTCCTGGTGGCTGCATAAACAGAGTTTTCTTCGGCAGCAATACAGAAGTGGCTTGCCACTGCCTTTTTCTGGAAAATTTGCTCAACTTCTTAAGCTAGTCCTGGGATTTCCTGGTGGTCTTCCATTCAAGTGCTAATCAGTACTTACGTTTTTTTTACAGTTCAGGCAAGATTAGCTAGATGGTGTGTTAGCTTTATTCTGTAGGTCTCCACGCCTGATGGCTCAACTTAGATTTTACAGTATGAAGATTTCTGGCAAAATTTTATCCTATGCTTCCTGGTGGGAGTAGACTGAGTGAAGCTTGCCTTTTGTAACCCATATTGAACTTGCCAGTTAAAACACCACCATCCTTTCAAGAAACTTGTACCTTTGGAATCACCAACACTGCCCCCCCATCTTATTTAGATTGTAAAGGGAGGTGTATATTTAAGCTTCTAGTGGGCCCACCCGTACCAAACTGTTTTTCATTTGCTGCAGCATGTTAGTATAGCCTTCTCCAACCTTAACCTCTCTAGATGTAATCCTGGGCACTCCAACCAGCAGGACGAATGGTCAGGAACAAGAGCAGTTCAAGACATTTCGAAAAGCTCAAGTTGAGGAAGGCAATACTAACATACTAATCCAATGATGTAACAGTACACTGAGAGAGACCTAAGTAAATGAGCAAGCAAATAAGAAGCTTTTTAGTCTGACTGCTACTACACATGTAAACTGCAAACAATAGCAAATAGTAGTAAAGGAACACAAAGGTCTGCCTAAGTTTATGATTATATGTGTTGCATGACCATGATGGACTTACTCTGGATGTCTAAAGAGTTTACACTCATGACAGTTAAAAGCTATTGCAATGTAAAAGGTATTTACATTTGACTATATGGTTCAAATAGTTCAAAATAAGTCCCCCTAAGCTATACATTACATGGACCCTTACTGCATGTATACATTATTGGAAGGGGGTTAATTCCTGAAGATTGACATCTATGTAACCTTCAGTGTGACTTACAGTAAAAGATCAAAATTTGGAAGAAACATCTCATATTCTCTTTTGTTATAGCCATGTGTTTTCATTTTCTGCATGATAATCACTAGAAACATTAACAGCAGTCCAATTTGTATCTATTCATGTAAATACCACAAGACTCAGTGGGACTCCCAAGTGTGTGTGGGACTGAAGCATCACAGTCTAATCCTACACATAACTGTCAAAATTCCTATTGCATTCAGTAACTCTCAGGTAAGAATGCACAGAATTATATCTTAAATCTCTGTTCTCCTCACCTCCCACTTCCTCCTGGTTGCTATGCTACCCTTAAATTTAAAGCTCCCTATTTTGCATAAAAAAAGAAAATAGCCACACAAACTAGCACATGGATACTACTACTAGACCACAGGAATGTGACACATTATTCATTATGGGTATAACAATGAACTAGTTC